TTTGATCATGTTGATGTTCTGCCAAATAACTGATATTTTTAGGTTCAGTCCGATAATTTCAAAGGCAGCTTTGCATGTGAACAAATAATACAAAACTTTGTTTCAGAGTTTTTGTAAATTGCCTTTGATTAATTCATTGTAGCAACAGTTGATATGAAAACTGTAAAGACAGCGAGACAAAAGAAAAAAAAACAACAACAACATGCAACATGCAACAACAACAACAGCAACGCAAACAAATGCAGGTCCATGTAACCAGAAGCATCTAACCGAGGGTGGTTCTGTCAACTTAACTGAAATTTAATATCCAGATTTTTAGTTCGTTTTCACGTTAGAGTAGTCATTCTTTGGGTTTATAATTTTACCCTGGACCATCAATAACAGTTTTACCTGTTAACAGTTTGTAATCTACCTGTCAGTTCTGTGTTTTCACCTAAGAAAAAATATTTAATCATTTAGTGTAGCTCTTGGAGTCGGTCAGAGTGCAGAAGTAAAGCCACTACTTCTGAGGTTGAAACATGACTTGTTTGAAAAATAATTATTGTAAAATCACTTTCTAACTCATTCATAAATAATAATGTTCTCATAATAACTATTATTTTGCATGTTCCACTGGTCTTTTAAATAATTTTACAGTTGCTGTACAACAATATTATATGAAAGTCCGAAGTAATTCACTTAACTGAAACAAATCCAAGTTACAGTAGTATTAACAGCAGAAAAACGAAGAGCATAACTACATGAATTAAGTTGAACTCACTTTGCTTAATTTCATACTTCCTCTGCAGCTGAGATCGAGACAGTGCTTTGTACTTCTTGTTTCTCTCCTACAACAACAACAGGAAACGTTTGTTGCGGGTTATCTTTGTTGACTAAGAGGATGATATCTCATGATATTTGCCAAATCATGGAATTATGGAAGCTCTAAAACATGGAACCGGAACCCGGAACCGGATTATGGAAACGGAAACGGAAACAGAAACGGAATCAAATATCAATGATAGTAAATTTTAAAAAGAATTTCACGTTGCATTAAAATTTAGTACCAGAGTTTCTGTAAATTGCCTTTGATTAATTTATTGTAGCAATAATTGATTTTAAAACTGTAAAGACAGCGAGACAAAAGAAGACAAAGAAGAAAAACAACAACGACGACCAAAACAAACTAAAAATGCACGGAAAAATACACTAATATCTTGAAACTCATGCGTGATCATCAGTTGACTTTTTCGAGAGGAGACTAAGGGCCACATCAGGATATGACGTCATTAAGTGGAATGGCCGGCGGATCGGAGGAGGAAAGAAGGCATACTGAAGCTCTTGTTTGAAGACGAAGGCTGGCCTAGAACAAATGCTGGCTTCTACAAGTAACGGCTTTCGAAAGCCCTACTTTTAGGAACTGAAATTCAAGTTTTGAAAACGTCAATGTAAGCCGTTTAAGTGTTTAAGTTAGACATCCGCGGGATTCAAGATGTCGTCTTTCTTCAAACAACTCTTCCCTTTCATGAAAGTCAAGAAAAAGAAGGAATTTTCCTACATAATTCGTGGAGTAGATCCCAATACCGTATGGAACCTTGTGGGCGAATTGGGAGATGGAAGCTTCGGCAAGGTGTATAAGGTATGATTAAACTGCATATTAACTATCTATTTGGTAGCTCATTGAGCTTTAGACGCCGGCTAATTCACGGTTGATTCTACTCGAGAAGATTTTAACACCCATTCAAGCAATAATGAATATTACAGTGCAGCGAAATTACGAGTTCGTGAAATATTTCTGTTGTTAATTCAAAGCTCGATGGATCATGCTATAACTCGTTCAAATACTTCTTTGTACGTTTGGTACAATTAATAGAGCTGTCACTGATTTAGAGCCGAAAATATTTTATTTTAATATAGCTCCTATAAATTCAAGAATCAGCTCATTTATTTCGTAACAGCCTTAGATTTGTACCACCGCAAAGGCACACATTTTGTTTATTTATGTCATGTTTTATGCAAAATAATATTTCAACATAATATGCAAAAACTTGCAGCATTATTTTTAGCAATGTTGAAGCTCATTTGTATGCACAAGGAAAACGGGTTTTAATAACTTAGATTTACAAAATTGCAAAGATTGTTTATTATACTTCCCAGCATGTTTTTACTTCCTAATGTTTTGGTTTAAAATATTCCCGACTGCAGTTTTTCCATAAGCTTACAACAAACTCAATAATTTGTTCTGTAAACATTTAAAGCTTTTTAGCAAGTCAATGGACTGTGACAAAGAGTTTTAACCCTGATTCATTACTGCATTAATATTCATGGTTAAGTTGTATGTGCTGGAAAGTTATTTTAAGTGATTTTGAAGTAGATAACATAATAGAAACAGGAAAGAAATAGAATTGCAAGAAGATGCAAACAATGATCAAGTGAATGTTTCAATATATTCTTGGTGTTGGGCACTTCATTTTGGGCATAGCATTTTTGAATTTGACAGCTGTCCAATTGATGTTCTAATTGTGTACCAGATATATCTTTCAATGGTGGTAAAAGTATCAGTCTCTTAGAAAACCTTCAATGCACTTTTTTTCACCTGCTCTTTGTTGATGACTGTTCACCCTCAGTTATGTTTGATCTCCATAATAATTCTTCTGAACATAGGAAAGCCAAATCAATAATATTCATTGTTTTATCATTCATTCAAAATTATTCCTAGTTTAAAAACGAGCTAAAACATGCTTATCTCGATCAATGTTAACTTCCTGTCTTCAATTGCCTGTTTCTCGGCAATGTCAGGAGAGAAAGAGATGTTTTCTTCTGCAGATATTCTCCAAATAAAGGGTGCAAAGAAAGTCAGTTTTACAGCTTGCCTGAATGGCAAGCTGTAGTGTGCATGTACTACCAAGCTTCATTTTAACGAGCCCTAAAAACTTCAACGCTGGCTGGTTATTTAACAATTATTCCTCGAGCCCAAATGGGCTCTGAGTCAATAGCCCATGAGGCCCAAGGCTGAATGGGCTATTGACTCAGAGGCCATGAGGGCGAGAGGAATAAATATTGTTTTAGTAAAATCCAAGTAGTTGGTAAAAAATATCAAGAGTAAAAAACTTCTAGTTTGTTAAAGCTAGACTTTAATCCTTTTTTGCTGCCAAAAAGCCTGTGCTTTTTGCTATTAGTGGGTTATAACATATAGCCTAGAAGTGGCTCAACCAATCAGAATGCAGCATTGATAATAGACCACTAGTTGGAGTTTACTAAAAAGAATTATCCGTGGGATTTGAGCCAATCAGAAACAGAAATATTGGAATCGATAATAAGAATAAAAATAAGAACAAGAAGAAATCAGGTGTGCTGAGAAGAAGGAGGTTAATCTTTGGTTGATCTTCTCCAGCTATGTTAAAGTTGTGTTATGTCAGCATTTGTGAAATGTTCTGAGACATACATATACACTTTTTGTGATTTACAACATCAAGTTTTTTGCACCTATATTATATATGTCTGTATTGTGCATTTGATGCTGAATTGGGAAGCCTTGAATGAGATACTGTAAGACCAAATTATTTCAAGTCCAAATGATTCTGAACTAGTTTGTGTTTTATTTTGCTTATTATTATAGTCTCAATCTAGTAGTGAGTGCGCATGCGAATGATGCAAGCAAGTACGTGGATTGGTTAAATTTAAATTTATTGAAACTCTGATTGGAACACACAAGTAGTATTTCTGTGATATTTGTCACACACAGACATTTTGCCATCCACAAATTTCCCCTAATTTCTGCTCACTTACAACTCAATGACTTGTTTAACTTCTCATGTGTTGTAGGCAGAACGCAAGACTGATGGTACTCTGGCAGCTGCTAAAATTATTGATGTTAAAGATGAGAGTGAACTGGATGACTTTATGGTAGAAATAGACATTCTTAGTGAGTGCAAACATAACCATGTGGTGGGAATGTATGAAGCGTACTACCATGAGAATAAGCTGTGGGTAAGTAGCGCGGTCAAAGGTTTAGAACACTCCTTCAGTCATGGTTTCTTAACTTTCAGCTCAGTTCAAACGTCGAACTTGTCATGTGCCTGACCTAATCCCTTTAATTAAGTACATGACGAGATCAACGTTTGAATCAATTAAGTCCATCATGTGTAATTTGGGTTGACTCATGAGTTAAGATCAAGTGGCCCACATGAGAATTTTGGCTATAGAGCAACTTCATTTCAAACGTCAAACTTCTCATGTGCCGAACCCAATGTATAAATTACTTGATAAAATTTATTTTCTCTTGTAAGCGTTTTAGACCATTGAACATTGTGAAAGTTCGACGTCTGAATCAACCGTTGAACTTGTATCATTTTGGTTGATCTAAATAGGTATTACATGTAAGCTCATTACATGAAAAGATTGATGTTTGAACTGGGCGTTAGTGAAACAGAAAGTCCATCACCACTGCTGGAAAGAGTACCTCAAAATCAGGAAAGCTGCCATTTTGTAGAACAACATGTTTGCTCCACAAAGTTACAAAATTTTTCAGACTTTTTTGTTGGGTTGAGGGGGGGTAGAGAATGTGTAACTTCTATATAGTTTATAGATGTTGACGAGCATAAATTATGAGGAAAAGAGAGCTTATGGGATGTTCTGTTTTCATAGATGATGTTGGAATTTTGTTCTGGTGGTGCCTTAGATGACCTAATATTAGGTAAGACTTAAACACATGTTACAATAAATCATATATAGGATAAAATGTAAAAAAAAAATGTCTAGATAAAATATTATTTAATGATTTGAATGGTTTTGTCCTTATGCCTGTGTTATGCCAGTTTATATGTATCTCATAAATGGACAGAATTAACTGTATCGTTGGATACCTACGTGTTTGTTTGGTGCAGCTCAGAAACAACAGTCCAAGAATTTGTGTGCGAAATGCATGTATGCAATTTGTACATGTATATATGTGTTCATCTTAGTGTGCGTGCATCTCTGATGCGTCTGATTAGTATGTATTGGCTAGCCTACAGACCTCTTTCACAATGGTATGTCACCAGCATGAGAAAATGGAAAAGTTTCAATTTTTTGTGTATGTTTATTCTTGTGCTTATGCTTGCACTGCACTGGTTGACACATTGTTTCTATTTTTGTTGCTTAAAGCTGTAGGAGCCATTTCTTCTGTCCATAAGAAAATTAATTTTAGATTACCTATCCAAAACTTTGAAATTGGCCACAACCACCAGTAAACATTTTTTCCTTTGTGGGAAAACTATTATATCTTTCTTCAAGCTAGTAAGCAAAGCCACTTGAAAACACTGACTGAGCTTGATGGTATTTCCTCTCTTTTGTCTCCCAGTCATTTTGCTTCTTCTAATGTTTTTCTCTTTCCAATCAGTGATCTTTTACTAATGATTTCATTCTTGCAAGAAATAGTTTCCTGAATGGCAAAATTATTTTCATTATTTTCACATGTTGTTCAAGGGTAGCCTGTTCCAGGCTCCGAGATAGTCGGGTCCACTGAATTGAGAAAGGGCAAACAAAAATATAATGGGAGGAGACTGGGGAGAGCAGGGGCAGCGGAGCCTGTAATCATTTCTTTAAACGACCCATTTGACAGATTATATCAACACTCTCAAAGCGGGTCGTTTCAGTCACTCAGAAAGATGGCGTGCAGCTCCCATGCTTGTGAAATATGAGATTTCCTGCACATAGGAGCAGAGAGGAAGGAACCGAAGACCTGGCTTGTGAACTTGGCGTGAGGAAAAGATGTTTTTGTAATCCTGCCAACCGGCTTCAGTCTTGCCTGATAACAAAACGGGTAAAAACAGAACAGTTGCAAGAAGGAGTTATCTACGCACTGCAGTCCAGACTCGCATTATCTTTAGATCTCTTTAGAAGAACAAGCTGGAGAATCAATCTTAAGAGCAATCTTGACTGACTCACAACGTAGTTCTCCACATTTAAAGAAGCTTCAGTTTAAGCTTTAGTTGTGTCATGACCTCTCTGCATGAAACAAGTGGCAAAAATCACATAGTTTGCTCAGTCAAAATGTAGACCCTCCAGAGCATAATCTAACTGTAAGAGAAAATATTCATTGGAACAAGCAGCATTTTGGCACAGGGTAAAAGTCGTGTGTTGCCTACTGACCCGCTTTTTACACTCAAGTTGCTCACGGTTGTGTAAGGGATTAGCGCCGTGTGAAATAATTTTGCGAGAAATTTGAGAAAGATTATTTCAACAGTTTGGCAGCTGAAATCTAATTATCTCAAACATGCCAAAAGTGGGCAGAAGAGGGTTGTGAAAGAAATGATTGCTGGCTCTGTTCCCCTTCCTTTTTCCTTTTTCCTTTTTCCCACCCCACCAACTTTTCGCGTGCCTTTTTCTTTCTCGTCTTCCCCACTATCTAAGAGCCTGGAACAGGCTAGTAGAAGGGTTATGTTGTGGTTCAGCTTTATCATTGGTGTTAAGCTATGTATGTAGTTTTAAGCTATGTAATGTACGATAATGAGTTTGAAACAAAGGGATAGAACATTATTATAAAAACACATGTATTTGGATGTATGTGCCATATGCACATCCAGGTCGTTAACCATTATGCTGCTAACTAGTCTTTTATATTTTGGTAGAACTTGAGCGGGGTCTCACAGAAGAACAAATACGAATTGTGTGTAAGCAAATGTTTGAGGTATGTCTCAGCTGTGTTGAATAATGCATTTTTTGATGGCAAGGTTTATTAAAATTCCAAACGCTCTGACATTAAATGGTTACATTTGTATTTGCTCCTTCAGTCATTATTTTACCTTGTGTTTAAAAGGGGTGCATGGAAGAAAAGCTTAATGGAGCTATGTCACACTGTTTCCTATCTTTTTAAAAAGCTGAAATTTATTTAGCATCAATTGAATTCCAAAAATAATGGTTCAGTTTTGTTATGTATATGACTTTATATGAAGGCACTGAAACTGTTTCCTGCTGTCTGTGGCAACAGATGGCAAGAATGGACATGGACTGAAACTTGAAAAAGCCGGGCCGACATTTTCAAGTTTACATGCTTTACCTGCAAAAATAACCAAAAACAGTGTTGTGGTTGATGCTTCCCAATTCTACAGGAGCATTTTGTGTTCGGGTAAAGGTGTTGGTAATGACTTCAGTGCAGAATTGAACTTAAAGAAGATTATCCTTCTGACAATTAGGCCCTGTAATTTATTTCTATTTAAATGGCTGCTCTTTGGCAGTTAGCAGTTTGCTTGCCAAGGTAAGTAGAAAAACAATTTGGCAATTAAAATTGCAACAAAGCAGCCCTGGCTCTGTATTTACTTTGGCAAGCTGTTTTTTCTTAGACGTGTTATGGTCTTTGTTAAGTTAAAGTGGGTCAGTCATTTGGATAAAAAGTCATTTACACTCCAGTTTTGAATAACAATATTTGCCCCTTTCCTCCTGGTTCTCTGGGTATTCAAGTAAGAATGGTTGCCGTAAAGTTGGTTAGCGATTTTGATTATATCAAAACAGAACTGCAACTGCTGCAACTCTAAAACAACCCATGTTTTATTGCATTAAGTTCCCTTTTTTCTAGCCACATCCATTTGTTTTGTGAACTTTGTGTGGTTTTGTTTCCCTTTTTGTAGTGTCTTCACTTTCTACACACCCATAAAGTTATCCACAGAGATTTAAAAGCTGGGAATTTGCTGCTCACAAATGACGGGCACATTAAACTTGGTACAGTATCTGATGAATTTTGTTTAAATAAGGTTATTTTTAGTTGCGGGCGACAAGAGGAGCCCGCAAACCTATTCTCCAGGAATGTGCATTAGTCAGAACGCAATTTGATCACGTGCGTTTTGATCATCTATCATGTAAAACTTATGCAAAGCACAGCATTGCGGCAAAAGCGTTTGGACCTTTGAACGTTGTCGCCCACACTCCCTTAACCTTTGGTTATTTCTAGTATAAATCTCTTTTTTTTTTTATTCCATATACCAAAGGTGAGAGAGAGTTGATGATTAATAACAATCTTAAGTGATTAACCCTACTGGATGTTATTAATAATAGCCATAATGACTCCTTTAAAAAAACAAGTAATTTGCTCTAAAGGGAAAGGTAATGTACACTCTATTTATTGGATTGTGTTTTAGATTTTACCTCTAGGATTTCTATTGAGTTTTGTCAAAATGCAAATGAGTGGTCATTTCAAAGATTCCCTTCACTACCAGTTTAAATATTACATGTACCTCTTAGTTTAATGGTGGTGATGAATACATGATGAGCTTCCTTTGTGTGCTATTGTTATGCCTACATATTTCTGTCAGGCTTTTATGATCCTCATCAGATCATTAAAGAGATGCCCAAAATTTTTACACAATTATGTCTAAACGCTTTGGGGTTAGTAAAGGAAATAGGGGATGGGGATCTTGTACTTATGCATTTTAAACCTCTCAGGGAATGCTTTAGCCTTAGCTTCTTATTTTGTTTGCCTCATTGCTTCATGTTCTATTGCATTCCATGTCCTTAACATGAACTAAAACCTTACGGCCAATATTATGCCATACTGCCTTACAGGCTAAAGTAAGAGGGTATAAAGAAGCATTTTCCGGAAATCATTTGTGCCTTTGGTTGTTATGTTGTAGCTGACTTTGGGGTTTCTGCCAAGAATAAGAAAACTGTACAAAGAAGAACAACTTTTATTGGAACACCGTACTGGTGAGTTAGAATAGATGCTTTATTTAGGACTCAGAATTGCTCTTTCAAATGTTTCCAAAATATAATGTTGTATGGTGCATTTAAATTTTCAGGTCAATTTAGGTTTCTGGGAATCTGCCTGCCTACCTAAGCATGCAAAGAAATTCGTGTCCGATAGCTGGGGGCTAGTGAATTTTGCTATTGGGCTAGTCATTTTGGTTCTTGACTTGCCCGACGGGCAAGTGCTGTTTTTTGGGGAAATTCAAATTACAGAAGGATTTTAATCAATCCTGCTAATCAAAAATGGTTTTGGGGCTAGTTGAAATGACTTGTGGGCTAGTACATGCTAGCTACAGCTTGCCTGAATTGCAGGCTGTAAAACTGACTTTCTTTGCACCCTGCTACATCTCCCCTAAACCTCCCCTCCCCTAAACCAACATTTTGCCCTAAGTGAGAAGTACAATGTAAGTGTCAATGTTGGCGTAGGGGAAGGATAGACGGGCAGGTCTCCAGAAACCTAAACTGATCCAATTTTTCTTGACTAGCTAGGCATTGTTATTTATAAAGACTGAATCATTGGAGGTAGTTTATGAGATTCAATATCCAATATGCAATATCTTAAGAACTGAAATTACAATGTAATAACCATATGTTAGGCCAAAATGTTTTATTGGCTGGTATTTCTTTGAAGTAACACTTATTGATTGTATGTTATTTTTTAGGATGGCTCCTGAAGTTATTGTCACGGAGACATGCAAGGATGATCCATATGATTACAAAGTTAGTAGATATACATCATGAAGTTATATGCTACATATATGAATATTCCATACAGAGTTTAGGGTAACTGTAAATATTTGGACTCGCTTAAATGTGAAAGGTCAAATGAAAAAGAAAGGGGGAAAAGTCAAGACTTAATTTATCTTTATTTCTGTATGTCCTGTATGGTTTTGCAAAAACAACTTTATATTAATGGTAAGAAAATGCTTGCTACTCGGCCTCATCTCCTTACTTACTTAATTGACGTGTCCATTTAGTTTGCTATTTAACACACTTTTTCTTTGGGTTGTTTTCCTGCTCATATAACTTTTCGGTGACTGTGCTCACATTGTGGGTGGCTCCTCCTAAAATGTTCTACAATTGGTATAGGATTTAATGGAGCCGAAACCAATTGTGGAATTGCACACATTTTTGGCCTCCTAATGATGAACAGTTACGCCTTTAGTTTCAAGCAACAATAATTTGCCATCTGTCCTCTTTGAATTCTTAAAATCTATGTGATAAATTCACTGACTATAAAAAGTCTTTTTTTGTCAACTTAGTGTATATGCTGTTCTATTTCTTTGCCATCATTGCTTTGTAATTTTTTATGTTTATTATTCAGGTTGTAATAATCATTAGTTGTATGCTCTACATTTTGTTTAATATTAGCTGTTATATTTTGCACACTATTGTATCCCTCGTGGGTTTAAGTCAAAGCCACTAGCGGGTTCTATTACTTGTACTAGAAGTGGATGAGGTTTCATTATTTACATTGATACAGTAAATAGAGAGTTGTCCCCTTTTGTAATTTAAATCTTAGATATACTGATGTAGTTGATATGTTTTTTTGACAGGCTGATATTTGGTCTGCTGGCATTACACTGATAGAACTGGCAGAGATGCAGCCTCCATACCATGACATGCATCCCATGAGAGTGTTATTTAAAATACCTAAAGCTGATCCTCCTCTGCTGCAGTTTAAAAACAGATGGTAAGTTGTTGATTCTTGATGCATGTTAACTAAAAGGAACTTTACCAGACGCATTGCATTCGGGAGTAAATTGGCAACTTTTAATGTAATGTGAAACTGCAGTGGACCAGCCTCATCCAAGGTGGACTGCAACACGTTGGCCATTTGCTTATTTGGCGGCACCATCCTTTACCACTTGTAGCATCGTAAGCATTAACCTGAGTTAGAAGAAGCAGCGCTTCAAAGTATGTCCAACATATCTCGCCAGTGAATTGTAGCAGATGGATTTGTCAGTCCAAAAGGCGTCATCAAAATTTCAAGGTCAAAGGGAGTGGCCATTATAGTGTGATTGTACAGCGGAACCCCGCCTTAAGACTACCCTGTGTACACGACCACCTTTTAATCACGACTACAATTTATTGACCCAAATGTAAGAAACACTGGGCATTATTAATTTGAAGATTCCGTTAATACGACAATCTCGGTATTACGAGCACGATTTTATGGCCCAACAGTGGTCGCATTAACCGGGTTTCACTGTATAAGCTATTGTGATCTAGGGACCATTGCTCATAATCAGTTCGACAAAGAGCCTAAAAAACCCCAAACTTTTGTTTGAAAAACAGCAGGAGATGTAGATCTATCGTTTATGGGGTACTGGAAATCGACCCCGTGAGATTTTACGCGGTGCATGAGCAGACATTTTTCGCCAGTGAAACTTATACCACAGGTGAAAAAACCTAAAAGGGAACAAAAGAAACTCTCGTTATTTACAGGCGCCCATATAGGTATAAGCCATGCAGGATTACGAATCTGTTTGGGTAGAAAGAATGTCCTAGTAACTCATAGCGATATGTTGACTGGTGTTTCAGATTTTGCACAATCGTCTAGCTGGATTTTTGAAAACGTTACTGCCGAAAAAACTGTCTCCAAAGTAGCCAATATCAATACTAAGAGTACAACAACTGCTTCGGTTTTTCTTCTTTTTTGTTTCTCCTCGCTCTTTCTGCTTTCCCCCTAAAAGAAAACGGCTTTTTGAGAGCGTGCCTAGCGAAATTTGCAGCCATTTGAGTGAAAAAGGACCAAAATGCAGGGGCTTTTGCGTCCAAAAAGCCCAAAAATAACAGCAGCAAAGGAAAAGGAAAGGAAAGATATAGGAAATAGTGAGCAGGAGGGATGGAGGAGAAGAGGAAAAAGGCAATAATGACACTCTTAGTTTCTACGTTGGTTACTCTGAAAACAAATGCTTTTTGGCGGTAAAGTTTTAAAAAATCCAGCTAGATGTATATTATCGGCAACTGTTAAGAAGAATACAGAAATACAGTTCAACAGCACAGGTCAAACATGCTCAATGAACACGAGCGCAGTTTTCACATTGCAAACAAAAAGGGGATAGTTGTGATAAGAAGACGGCTTAAATAGCTTGAAATTGTGGAATTAAGTTAGTGACCCTCTTCTTTAGGTTAAAGCTGTATTGGCCCAAAAGTTGTCTGACGGATGTCGTTTATTTATTCAACAGGTCTAATGACTTTCATGATTTTCTCTCTCGTTGTGTTGTGAAATCTGCAGAAATGCGATCATCAGCTGCTGAACTTCTTGAGGTAGGATGAGACGCTTTTACTTTGTAGTGTAGCATGTTCTGAGAAGAATAAAAGATAGACTAAGGACAAGTGGAGGCTAAGGCCTGGTTCAGACGCCGTACTTTTCATGTGCCGAACCTAACTGAATAAAACTGTGAAAGGTTGTCGAAACGTCAGTCACTGTCAACAACAACAGTCCTATTCAGGACTACGTTCACCCGGACGATCAAACTCAACCTTTTCTAACGGAATAAGTTCGACTTTGGAGCGACACTGGCGCGACATCTGATTCAGGCGGCGTACCGTGTGTCGAATCTAAGTTAAGTTCGACAAAAGTTCGACAGACTCTGTCGAACTTAACGCTTTTGCCGCACCAAACTAAAACTGCCGTACCAAATTGATTCAGACGCCGCTCTTTTGCCGTACTTAATTCATCAGTTAGGTTCGGCACATGAGTGGAGCGGCGTCTGAACCGGGCCTAAGTCACTGCTATTGTTTAAGTGTGATCAGCCTTCGTGGCAGGCGCGCGAGGCAGGCGTTCAACTAGCAAGGGAGAACTTAGACATGCGAGAACTCGATGGGTGCCTTCTCTTTCCTTCTTGCGCCCTTCGCTTTTGCCCGCACCTGAATGGTAATCGGTCAAGTCACCCGATTGAAAGTCAGGATTCGGTTTACTCGACGTTGACCGAGATGGGGTTATGTTGCCCGCGTGGTATTCTTTGGTGCTCAGCTGTTGCGGCACTCTACTTGTCTTTCTGAAAGCATGAAAAGAAGGAAACAATGTAAGGCTAAAAAGCTGCCACAATGGTATACCAACAGCTTCAAATTAATTTTGGGCGAGATGAATTTCAGTCAAGGTAACCTTGTCGTGCTCAGAATCAATTATGGTAAGGTTAGGTAATTCAAATTCTTTCAGTCTTCGGACGAAATCACGGGCTAGGCCCATTAAGATGGTATATCGTTGGCTTTGCCTGCGTAACAAGCGTATCCAATCGAGTTATTGCGCTAAAGTTGGAGCAAACAAAAGACTGAATGGAGAAAGTCGTCCCAACTTTCTCGACGAACTAGCGCGGAAACGCATACTATGCAAGCTATCCGTTAATGCAGTGGTGACATATTTTTATCCATTACTGCAGGAATAAAATTTTGGGTTTAATGAAACTCTAGATGTGTAATTATTTTATCTGAATCACTGTTTTGTCGCCTTTCTTCAGCATCTATTTACTGAATTGGGCTGGATGTTTATTATATGAATTACCTTTCTGTGTTCACCTCTTCTTTAGCATCCTTTCATTACCGGTGTTGTTGATGGCAAACCATTGAAAGAACTTTACAATGAAGCCAAGGCCATTGTGATTGAAGAACTCGAGGATCTTCCAGAGGATGAAGAGGTGATTTTGGTTCTAGCGAACATTAAAATGTTCCAACAAATATTGTGGTTCGATAACGTTGTTTAAATTTTTCCGTTTATTTTTGGGCATGATAATGTATAACAATCAGCTTGAAATAAAGGGAAATAAATCTTTGAAATGAAAGGAAATAAATCTAATCCCTCTCTAGTCGCATCCAATTTGAGGCACGGATTTCGTTTCAAACAGTCACTTCGAAATGAGACAGTTTCACCAAGTAGTTTTACTCAGATTCTTTTTTCCAGGAAAATCAAGAAAATTCATACCTTAGTGCCCTCGTACGTTATGCTCTATGAGGAGGTTTCCTTAAGTTAGCGTTATGATACCTTTGTTGGTTAAATAGGGATTTTCCGTCATTTTGTGTCTAAATTTCCTTTTTAGTTTGGCCCGCAATAGAGAAGAGAGATGGGGCGATATCACAAATCTAAATTTGGGAAATAATGGGATACTGGCATATCCAGAAAGAACAAGATGAAATATGTTTACTTGACAAAAATGAGCCTGTTAGTACAAATTAGCTTGGGGATGTAAGCACTGTTATGACTGATGACTCCCTTTAAATCCTTCTAAAATTGGCTTGGATCGTACGTTACTACTGATCCAAAAACAGTCGCCGCTACAACTAAACTGAGGACAACAAAAAACACAGCAAGTACAAAGGGTAGTCTCCCTCGCAGCCGTTTTAGTGTCGTCACGCAATGCTTCTGTGGGGAGGAGCGTTGCGTGACGACACTAAATGGGGAGCATGGATGGATTAACTTGAAAAAGTCTGAAAGGGATTGCAATTGTTGTGGTTTTTTTAAAACTTCTTAGCCTAACAATTTTTTAAAGTTCATTTTTTTAACGTTTGATGAAATGCTTGGGAGACAGCATTTGTTGGACACGAAGCTGTGGTTATGTCATTCACAAGTAATTTCCCAAGTTCAATAGCGACCAAGGACGCGTATTTAGCACTATTAGAGACCTAAGATTCGATGACGAGAACGACTACGGGTACGAGATTTGATTTAAAGTAAAAACTAGACACGCCGGAATGTTCCATTGTACTTTTTTCACCAGAAATGTTAGCACTGTTATCTTTATTGGGGGAGTTTAAACCCTCTCCCGATAGAAAAATAATAAATCTTCTAACATTTGATAACTTTTTCCCGCCACTACGACATTCTCGCTAAAACTCGTAGTTAAATGCCGACGGCTATCTCGTTTTCCCGCCAAAATAACGCAGGATTGACGCGCATGCACTACTTAATGCTAGTCGTCCTCGTCTTGTAATTTAAAGGTCTCCATTTAAATTTTAGTCAGCCATGACACGGCCCCATTAAGTCAGTATTTTGTTTTTATGTATGTAGAAAGAGAAGGACGAGTTGAAGGCTGCAGAATCCACTGAATCGTTGGACGAGAGTGAGGAATGGAGCAACGAAGTAGATGAGGAAGGGAAGGAAGTGGAAGAATCGACAGAGAATGAGAGAGAAATTGAGAAAGAAAAGGAAACAGAAGAACCAACCAAAATTGAAGAGGAAAACAAGGAGGAAGATTTAGAAGAAAGAAAAGAAGAGGGGAAAATGGAAAAAGAAAAGGAACATAAAGAGGAACTGGATGAGAGAAAAGAGGAAGAACCGCAAAAAGAAGGAGAAGTAAAAGAAAAGGAACAAATAGAAGAAGTGGAAGAGAAAAAAGAGGATGAACAACAAAAAGAAGGAGAAGGGAAAGAAAAGGAACAGGGAGAAGAAGTGGAAGAGAGAGAAGGGAATGAACAGCAGAAAGGAGAAGAAATGAAAGAAAGGGAAGTCGAGGAGAATAAGGAACTCTTGGACGAACAGAAGGTAGAAGAGGCCGAGCAAAAGGTGAACGAGATAGAGAATAAAGAATGGAGAGAAGGAAATGTGGAAGGGGAACAAGTAGGAGGTGCTGAAGAGGATAAAAAAGAAGATGAAGGCAAAGCTGAAGAAAATGAGGAACAAAAGGAAGGAACAGAAGAGGAGAATCAGGTCAGCGAAACAACGAGTAAGGAAGGAGTTGTTGAGATTAAAGAAGCTGGAGATGAAGCTCAGGAAGTGGGAGACAAGAAGGGAGAAGAAGAGAATGAGGAAGATAATAAAGAGGCTGTAAGAGAAGATACGGAAAAGGAGGAAGAATTGGAGAAAGAAGAATTGGAAAACAAACAAGCCGAGGACATGACACCAGAGCAAGTGGTGATTGGAACTGAAGAGGAACAAAAGAAAATAAGGATAAAAAAGAGGATAAAAACGAAGAAGCACAGGTACAGAAGGATAAGTACTCCACACGGCTAGATAATATTTTAGACCAGTTAGAAGATGATGAGCAAGAACAGACACTACCAAATAAAGAAGAAGAAACGAGTACACAAGTTCAGGAAGAAAGAGAACAGGAGGGATCGGAAGAAGCTGAAGTGACGAGCAATAAGGACGAAGTGGAAGAAAAAAGTGACAAGATCGAGGAAAATAGGGAGGAGAAAAAAGATGAAAATAAAAATGAGGATAAAAATGATGAAGTGTTTGATGAAAACCAAAAAGCGCCCATACCAAATGGCGATGTGTTCGTCCCAGCGATAAAGAAGGAACCGCCAAGTCCTTCTGTGAACAAAAAAGAAACCACTGATGTAAGTACTATTACTTTGTTTCAGACCAAGGGGTTCTTGAATTCCAGCTCGTGCTTTGGACAAGCACCTCTTGCAAGTAAGCTTTAAAAGTTTCTTGCCCAGCAAGAAAATTTGCTTACCCTGGACTACTGCGTGGAAGGGACTTTTCTCGAGTCATGTGGGGGTTAGTCCTTATAAATGTAGGTCGTTTCGCCTACACTGAGGTCGATTCACCCACACGATCTTAGTTGCTCCAAAGCTTACTCCTATTTATACAACACCATTACGTGTATAAACTTCGGTGTCTTTAAAACAACTGTAATAGATCATGTAGGCGAATCGACTTGCAAGCGAAACGAACGGTTTTCTTGTGGATTAGCAACACAAGACCCAAATAGTTGGGAACAGAGTGCACCAAGTTTTACAAAATCCCATTGTCTCCAGTTAAACCTCGCCTAAATTATATTTCGAATAATACTCAGCTGTCATTTCTCATACCTAACTTTAATTTGATGAATATTTAGTAACTTTAGTTCTAACTCAAGCCAGTGCCGGTAGAAGATTCTTTTTAACTGATTGTTTTTTACTTTCGTTATCAGGGCGCTGAGGAAGAGAAAAGTTACAAAACACTGAAAAGAACTCGTAAATTTGAAAAAGATGGCAAGATAGTCACAGAAACAACTTCAAGAGTTGTAGATGTGAGTCAAGAGGATTACAGGAATGCTTTGATGAAAGAACAACAGCAAAGGTAACAAAAAAGTATCTTATATCAGCGTGTTATAGTCAGAAACTCGTAAGGGGTTGAAGTGTGTAACTCGCGTTCAATGCTCGTGAATATTCATTTTTTCTAAGTACCATATCTGGAAACCCTCGCTGCGGCCTTTGCAAAAGGTTAAACAACAACTTTGCACGTGTATCACGCCCTTTGTACATTTCTTTGCCGTCACTGCCCGCGGACCTTTACTGGAGGGCGAAAACACAATGCAACGATTTTCTCTTTCTCTTCCTGAACTTCGATACAGTCTTTAGACGAACTTAACGAGATGGAAGAAGCGCAAAAAAGTTTAAAGCAGCGCGAATACACGTTTTAAGTCGTTGTTGCTTGAGTTCTCTCAGGTTCCCTCCCAAGAACGCTGAGTAAAATTATGTCGCGTCTTTTACGAAAATGAAAATTTACGAACATCATCCTCCTTGCGATTTTCTGTTATAGTGCCATTTATAAGGTTGTACTAGGTAGCTCTACCTACAGTATAATTAAATCAGGCGGAAAGATCTGTTTCAGCTCTAAAAATGAGTCGAATACAGTCCGATTGTTGATTCTAATTTGGCTCTCTTAATCAGGGCCAATACAATCTAATTACTCAGGGCTTAAATGGGTCCCAGCTTGGGCTGGAATAGGCTTTTGATGGGCTGTTTTGGCTTAAATTGTGCTCAAATGGCTCCACTAGAGGCTGAATCAGACTTTGGCCTGTAGGGCTGGATTGGCACTTTGGGGCTGAAACTGATCTTTTTAATTTTAAGTGTAGCTGGACTATTTGGGGCGTCCTGAGTCCTGACGAGCAAAAACAAACATCTTTTCAAGCTAACGAGCTGTTCTTTTGTGTGGTGTGGTTTATGTTATAGTACCAGCCCACACAAGTTGAAGAAAACTCAACTTGTCACCAAACAAATAAAAACGAGCATGTCATTTTAGTCCGTTTGAGTCGTATCGAGATTGAACAAAATGAAAATTTAACTGATCAAATTTTAAACAACTAGCGTCTATGTATTTTGACATTGACGCTATTAAAAAGTCACTCAAGTGTATTATAATAATGTACTGTGTAGAATTTTTATAGTTGTAAATAAGTCGAATTCCTATAATAAGCGTTATTGTGATTAGTTAAGAAGTTTAATTTTATTGTTTGTATACGACCACATCAGCTTTGCTGAATTTTCAATCGTGTTTAAATAAATGCTGTTGTTATTATTATTATTATTATTATTATTATTATTATTGCATTTCAGGAAAGTGAATTTACGTGAATTGAAGATCCTGCAGCGCGAAGAACAAAAGCAAGGGATGCTGCTTATGGCGAAGATACGCCGCCAGTGGGAATCTCAAGAACAGCGATTTGAGCAAGAGTTACAGGTGACTGATCTAATCCTGGTTACAACATGCTACTGACCAGTTTAATGCACTGTACTTACTATGGATTGTTATCCTTAAAAAAAACTCTATTTGAGTGTCAATGTATTTAGCACAAAAGTGCTAATTGAGGACTCTATTTTAACGTCTCCTACTGGAGACGGGACCGCTATTTTACGAGGTCAGCCGAATCACGCGAAGGTCTAGCCATTTGTAGGGCAAAGGCAGTACCTTCATTTCTCAGTTATTTTAAGACCCTGAGTATTGGTCCAACCCCTGGAATCGAACCTGGGACCCCCCGTTCTGCAGTCAAGCGCCCTCCTGACTGAGATAATCCTGTCTAAATTATTGATCTTTTACTTTTTTAATCAGATCCAGTCTAATTTAGTCGCTTTGCCCTTTCCTAGTGAGTTATCTCTTAACGCCTCGTGTACCAGGCAGTCCCATAGTATGACATACAACCCTTTACCCGCTTTTGTTGATGCCTACAAGTATTCTTTTTTTCCCCGATGTATACTTGTGTGGAACAGTCTTCCATCTACAGTTACGGCTCCGTCTTTGCCCGTGTTTAAGTCCACAGCCAAAACCTATCTGTCATCACCTACAGCCAAATTATGCCAGCCATTGCCATGATTAGCCTATGCTATTGGCAATTAATCGATTGAAGATATACCTTGTCAGTAACTGTGGTCAAATTCTGAGTGGCTCCTCCTGAAATGTTCTACAATTCGTCTAGGATATAATGGAGCCAAAGCCAATTGTGTAAATGAAAGCAGATGTAGACATTTCCAGCAACAACAATTTGCTGTTTGTCCCATAGAACAATGTAATAAATCTGATTTTTAATCGCGTAACGGCGTTCCTTTAGTAACTGTTAAATTCTTGAGGGTAGTAAGTTTTTTGGTCGAAGGGTGGTAACACGAAAACAAATATGCGTAATTGACCCGTCGTGAGGTCAATCGGCCAAGTTCTTTTTTGGGCGATTCAAGGTCAATTTTCAGCCATCTTGACCGAATAAGTTTGGTAATAATTAAGTAAACCACAGTTGTGATTTTTCCTTTCACAGGATTTAGACAGGAAGTACGATGTGGATTTGGACAATTTAAGTAGAAATCAGAAAAAAGAAATCGAAAAACTCGAAGTGACACAGAATGCAGATCTACGAACCTCATCGCGCAAGATGAAACAGGATCAGGTGAGATTCAGCTGAGGTCAGGTCGGGAAAAATGTTAAGACAGTTTAAATTTTCTTGTGTAACCATTCAAGTTATTGCCTCTTCTGAAAATCTATTGCACAATGAACACGTCTGTACAAATAAAGGTTGCGAGAACTTTGATGGTTTTAAAGGGTAAAGTGTAATCAAGAGTAAGTTAGGGATGAACCTCTATTTAAAAAATGCCCGACCCCGCCTTGAAGACATCTTGGATTTTGATTGGTTCTGCATTATAAGGGAACCATGAAAGTTGTCGTGACAAATGGTTTCCGTAAGCCAATAGTTAAAACGATCAACATGGACTCGTTGTCTTCCCGCCAAAGAAATCCTTTCGTTTGTTAAGGTGTAAAGAGAAAAGTTCGATTTTTTTTGAAATGGGAATACGTTACGTGTACGCTAAACCAACCAAACGCGGCGCGCATTTAGTTAGTCCGCTCGCTTTACCATTAACCTGCGGGTGACGAACCCTTCTTAACGCCTGCGTGGGAGGGAGGCTACTCTACCATTCTATTGCGTAAATTCTTGTTCCTTTGTAACCTTGTTCCCAGGGTCCTTTCCTACTCGTCCTCCGAGGGACGAGCAGGAAAGGATCCTGAAGATCCTGAACACTCTTAAGCGGGAGAGTAAATTGTCGGAGACTGGAATTTTCAAATTTCTTATTTCATGCGTTTTTTCTAAGCGGAGGCACCGTGGCCTGTGCCGCAGACTTAAACTAACCCCAGTTAGTGATGTCTGCGAAGCAGAGGCGATATCCTTGTTGTTGGCCCCCAGCGGACTCAGTGAATTGCCGAAAGTGCGTTTCGAATTTCTCTTTAACCTGATTGGCAAATTGACAATGGCTCATTTAACGGGCCAATCGTGGCGCGTAATCAAATCCTATTACACAGGTGTGGGCCCGGAAGAAGGATATCGGCACTGTTGCGCAGACGGACTTTTAAGACGTTTAGTTCCTTCCTGTGGTGCAGGCTAAGGCGTGGCGGTGTCGTAGTTAACACTGCTGGACTAGCCAGCAAGCAAGCTCTCATGGCCTTGGTTTTTCAAACAGTTAATAGCGCTAGCGTTACTCCAAACTGTCTCTCTCTACCCAGGTACGTTTGTGGGACGGAGATAGAAGACTAAATCTCATCATCATGAGTTTTCTAGACGAAATGTTTATCCACATATATCTATTCTTATTGCAGGAGAAAGAACTTAAACGTTTTAGAGACAGCCTAAGAGAAGAGCAAAAAGGAGCTAAGAAGGAGGTTTGTTGACTGTAGTTTGCTTTTCAGGTCAAGTAAACTGTTCAGTACTTATACACTAAGTGAATTAAGAAACATTAGCCTAGTTCATTTTGGTGAAAAACATGTAGTTACAACGTGGGGACAAAATACGAACTCAAGAACATAAACTGCTTGAACTGTAAGGCTTTGAAAAGCTTTGAGAAGTGAATATTACACATTCATTTTTCAAGAAATGTTCATTGCATATCCAGCAGAGCAGACGAACGACAAGAGAAAGCATAACGATACATCTAAGAGTGATCAGCATAAAATTTCTCCCTGCAATATCAAAGCTTAATAAAACAGTGTGGTCATGAGAATTGAGGGCGTGATCACAGAAGATGAATCTCATTGATACTTCAACAAATTTTCTCCACTACTTCTATTAAAAACGTATAAGGACAACAAATAAGAATTTGAATTTTGTTACTAGGTGTTTAAGGGTTAAAAACGTTTTTTCTCTGATTTTAAAGATGGATCAGCTACCGCGAAATCAGAGAAAGGAGTCTTGGAGAAAGAGGAAAGAAGAACTCGAAGTCTCACAACGCCAAGCAGTAAGTGATATTATTTTCAACTGGTTGCTTTCCTTTCCCCCTTTTTACTGAAAACGACAGCAAGAAATGATAACTACTTCAGTAAGTAATAAATTTTATTATTATTCATTCAAAATATTTCCCCGATTCTGACTGGCTAAAAGCACACGTTTAATTCACCATAACCAGTTTCTGATGACCATATTTGGAAGAATTTTGTGTTTAGCGAGGAAATGACGTCAAAAGTGCAGCGTTCTTGTAGGGTTAAGGCACCGTTAACGGAGAAGACCTGGGAACGAGGTTGAGTTGTTTTGGTTGTGAACATGAAAAATGGAGGACATTTCACTCGTTTCAAGAGTAAGAACTAGGCGAAAAAATAGCTAAAAACACCGCAAGAACAGCAAGAAGACAACTCGAAGGGCAACATCTGCTATTTGGGGAATATTTGCGGAGCTGTACAACCCTAAACGTGCACTATCGAAGATGAACTTAACATCGATGCATCGATGGAGGTAAGCATGTTTTAGCCATGTTTTTAAACTAGGAATTATTTTGAATGAATAATAAAACAATTATTGAATTCGGCTTTCATATCATATGAAGAATTATGGAGATATCGGAGGCGTTATCCGTCGAGGCTGTAACACCCTTCTCGATCTCCATAATTCTTCATAAGATACTCGGCCTCATTCATTAATTGTTAAATAAATGATGATTTAGAGGCAATACAACCGCACATAGTGGCTCTCCGTCTTCCACTTCAAATCGGTTACTGGAATTTCGCTTGCCAATACAGCCGCCTTTTATCGCTTCCTTGGACGTTTCACGAGTGCCTGTGCCTGTACCTGCCTGTACCACAAACAAACAAACTAAAAAAATCCTTCTCGCATACTTAGTGGTATACAGCAAGAACGCTCAGTTGTGGCTATATTGAAATATTTCTTCGTTTATTTCCCGTGCTGAACAGGAGCACGAGTTTCTGGCCATGCAGCGGGTGGAGTTTGAGAAGTTCTGTAAGGAATTAATAGACCTACATCGTGAGCGGATGTACAACTTAGAAATGCAGTTCCTTCAGGATAAACACAAGCTCAAGAGAGGTTTGTATGCTCCCTTGATATCCACAGTGAACCCCTTCTAAGCGCGGACACCATTAATATTTTAATCTTCAATGAGGAAGCCAACTTTACTAAGTGGTTTATAGAGGGGTCCTCTTATAAGACTGAACCATGAAGCTGAAAATAATTGAATTTACTGGTAGGACCAGTAGCAAGTGCCTGCCCCATAGAGTATACTATAGAGACCAACGCTTGGTGCCCGTTTAAACGTTTCACTACCAATAATGGCCAATGCAAAAAATTCTCAAAAATTCCTAATTTTTTTGTACATTGTAAAGAAATATGTAGAACCGTACAAAAGTTCTGCCAATGAGGTTTCGTTTGAAGGCACTGTAAATAAAACAAAACTGTTTTAGCCCTTAAACTTCGCTCCCTTAATCAAGGCGAATTTTAGTCCAATTTGGACCCATGGACTGAAATGAGTCCCAGCGTGCGATGGATCAGGAATTTGATGTGGCTGCAGTTTTGACTTAAAATTGCGATCAAAAGGCTCCAAGAGAGGCTGAGTCAGTCGTGCAGTGCTAAACTGGCACTTTGGGACTGAAACAGGTCTTCTTAATTTATAGTGTGGTAATACCATAAACTTTCGTCCACAGATTTAAAAGTTATAGTGACAAATTATCCCGCTATAACTTGGTTCAGGAGTGAAGTGGTTAAGGTTTTAGAGAGGTGTCAATCTTATTGAGACGTTCGTTTAACGAGAGTCTACAGTATCTATTACTGAATTGACACCAACTGTTCTTCATTTTGGTTTTGGAGTATTTTCTAGCCTGTTCACCGTCCCCTATTCTTTCTAAGATAGTTGAGATCGAGCATTTTGCGTTAGGGGGGTGGGGCATCTTGGTTTAAATGCACCGAGGGGGTGGGCCCTAGGGTTTTTAGCGATGGGTGGAGGGAGGTGAGAAAAATTTTTGCGCCTTATTCCAAACCGTCCACCGCCCGGAAATAGACTATTCACCTTAAGCATTCCGTGTCATTTTCTGTCGACACACAGTCAAGGTAAAGAGATGTACTGTTCAGTTGCCCATCCCAGTTTGGTGTCTATTTATTTGTTTACCTTTGTTTGTTTATTTGTTTTACAGGTCATGAAGGAGACAGATGGGAGACTGAACAGCGTCAGCTACACGAGAGACATCAGCTGGCCAGAACACAACTAAAAGAAACTTTCTTTTTACAAAGATCGCAAATGTTGAACAGGCATCAAAAAGTAAGAGGCAACATTTGACATCTCCTTCTAAAGAAGAAGAAACCTGTTATTACATATTATTATGACGCACTTGTCTTCAACATAATGATCAGGCTTCTTGGTACGCCTTTGCATAGTCTTGTGATTGAAAAGTGGTATATTATTACTACTTTAACATGAAATTTTGCGAACTTTAGCGATAAATTTCTGTAAGCATTATTTCTTCTCTTCGATGGTACAACGGAAATCGTGCACTGTGATGTGTTTGGGTCTATTAATATGACAATGTCTTCGTTTCGCTTCCTTACGCTCTCTTTTACAATCATTTTTTGATAAGGTTTGGAGGAATTTAGAATCACGTTTAAGGGGTAAATGGCAAACGTCGATTTTTACCGCGGGAGAAAGCTTTCTCTTACTTGTCGTATACCGTTCATTTGTCAAGAAAAATATTCAGTAGTAGTTTCACACCCGTTTCATCCATAAGAATTTGTTTGCACAGTTTTTGTCTGCTCATTTCTCATTTTTAGAAATTTAAAATGAATCTGACGTTAACTTGATTCTAGATCTCTCAATTATAAAGCATTCGACTCTGTGTTTTATCCTAGTGTACATTGTTTGACACATTATAATTACTTTCCTAGACACTCCGTTCTCTGGTGATACAGGCCTGCTAACCAGGCGATTTTGTTTTTTTCGTCAGGAATGTGAACAGCATAATCGTCTTACAAAACTGAAAGACGAAGAAATGAAACGACGGCACGAGATTGAGCGCAAACGGCTTCCCAAGATTCAACGCGATGAAATCAAGGCTAAGTCACAGCAGTACCGCAAGTCTATAAGGATGGAAAAAAGAGTTTCAGTGGATATTGAGCGGGAAATGATGAAAGAGGTAACTTCACTTGAGATTGAATCATTCCTTTCTTTTCAAGGAGTCGAGGGTCGTGAGTTCATTTTGTGCGCACTGAAAAACCCGGATGTAAACGTCATTATTGGTGTTATAAACAGAGTTCCGCGGTAAACAACAGTGTATTTTGAAGAAACGTTTTTAATCGTACCTTTTGGCGGGAACACTTTATCGCAAGCTTCAAAGAAAGGGAGAGTGCCGTGATTGTATATGTGGGTTAAACCTGAGATCAGGTCTTGTTTTCGTTTCGCTTGGTACGAAATTCTGGCGCGACCAGGTAAGAGAGAATGTATGAAAGCTGATAAAATTGGGCCTTAACTCAGGTTAATGTAGGTTATGACAAATCCCCGTGGCTGATTTAAACGCTTTCTATTTGTACATAATTTCAGTTTGAGTTATTGGAACGTAAGAGAGCGCGCTCAGAGTACGAAAAGATGCTGTTTAGACAGGAAATGGAGGCGGAAGAACTACGCATGTCATCGGAATCAGCATTAAAGGAGTTACAACAATTACAGGTCAGTTTGCGTTCAAAATCGAGCAACATTTATTTAGATAAATAGATAAATGAATGAATGAATGAATAATGACATGACCGGTCATGTCGGCGGGCGCTCCGCACATGCCGGTTTAAAACTCGAAACGTACCAATGCCTTATATCGTAAACTAAAATGAGTCGAGTTAAAAATCTACAGAAGGAAAACCTTAAAGCTGTAAATAGGTAATGAAGATAATTATTTGAATGTTAATTATTTAATAGAATATTTTGTGAAGTTAACCTGATATGTTGTATATACCTCTAGTTGTAATTTTAGTTTTTTTCAAATATCAAAATCCCCTCTACTAGAATTTATATGTGAGGTGTTTCTTTCTGTATGTTTTTGTATTTCTTTTCTTGTCTTTTTTCTTATGTTATTTAATAACGTCTTTATTTAAAGTCTTGTCCTCAGGACAAGACCTAGATCAGCATTATAGCTATTTGCAGGACATAACGTTGTAAACTTTATATTTCTTTAAATAAATACATTGTTGTTGTTGTTGTTGTTGTTGATAGATAGATAGATAGATAAATAAGTCAGTAAATAATGTCATCTCAGTCCGCTGCTCTTATTACGTTGGCCTCCGTTTTTTTCTTCTGCAGAACGAAAAACGTCACATGTTAATGGAGAGCGAAACGACTAAGTTAAAAGAAAGAGACGAGAAACATGCAACGCAAGTAGTCGCGTGGAAAGCCGAACTTGGACCACGGAAGAAGGTGAGAGACTCACTCGCTCCTGCCAGGGTTAATATTATTGAGGCATCGGGAAAGAATCCCTAACGAGAGAGAAAAAGAGCGGGAATTCTCTTCTCTCCCTTTCGTACCATCAGGTCATTTTCGTTGCTACGCTCTTTATCGTGCCTGTAATTAGAGACCTTCAGACTTGAATACTAGAACGACTATCTGTACGAGATTATTTTTCGCTTATTGTCAAAAAATAGACACCAAAAAAGTTAGCAGTGTTATCTTTATTGAAGGAGCGCGTTAATACCTCTGCCGATCGCAAAATGATAAAACTTCGAAGATTTGATAACTTGTTTCTGCCACTACGACATTCTCGCTAAAACTCGGAGTAGGATGACGACGGCCACCACGTTTTCCCGCCAAAATGACGCTGGTTCACACGCGCGCACTGTTTAGTATGGAGAAAATCCCTTCGGCGTACTCGTAGTCGTTCTTGCCTTAGATCTAAAGGTGAAAGGTCTCTATTAACTGAACGTCTGGAACAGGCTGTAATATAAGTTTTCCTCCAGGCAATAGATCGACCGCAGTCGGTTTGCCCATGCTAAGGCTGGGAATGTAAAATGGAATTAGGCAAAACGATAAAATCATAACAACACGCAATTTTTTTAATACTCAAACTGTCCATTGACAGATGTGACTTTCGCTTTGATTTCTCAGGTTCTCGAAGAGGAATTCGCGCGCGAAGAGCGAGAGCAGCAGTTGTTTTACGCCGGAAACTCGACCTTATTTCCTATTCCCACGGAAACGGCGGGGAAGGAGGAATCAGAGGGGGAGTCTGGTGACAACCAAGTGGATGGAGATAAAACCCCGGATAACCTCTCGAGTAAATCTTCTTCTGGCTCCACGGATGTAATATCATAATACTAGTCAGTTGTTCATGGTGCAGATTCGTGTTATATTGGACGCGAATGACACAAATGAGGCTGATAGTGTAGCCATGCAGTCATTGACACAATGAGCCTACGGAGGAAACTGTCAGGCGGAATCTCGGACAGGGTCTCCCTCCCCAACCTTCTTATTTTCCTTTGATGTTATGGCTCAGTAGTGTGAAGACTTCTTGCTATCTCGAATATCTCCAACACTCTTGTTAGTCTTATATTCTTGAAAATCCCAGATAGCAACTGACCTGTCAATTAAGTTACTGTCATAACTTAAATTGCAGAGTCCCTACTACAATCTATTAAGAAACCTTTAGTTGTCTCGCAGTGGATAGTGTGACACCGAATCTGGGGTGGCTGATGTTTAAAGAATTTACCCCTCCACGCTATAACAGTATCCACTTCCGTGGTTTCCCCCTCCCCCTCGCCCCGTCCGCTCAAAAGTTAGAGTTCCAACACAACCCTCGGCGCGCTCGAAACTTGTAATATACGCTGTTATATGCTGTATTGCCGTTTCTAGCTATAAGATGAAGTAGAATAGTGGTCTAGGTATTGCAGTGGGTGAGGACCGATTATGTTCTTCTGAGTGAGCAATATGTAGTCTTTTACTTTCGGGTCAAACTCTAACTGGTCCTACTCTTGTGTACGAAACATTCTAAGGGAAATTATATTTCAGTGCAATTATGACGTTTTGTTTAGTTTGCCGCGAGCAGAGATGTTTAGAATTTTGGTTACTTATGCCCCATTTATACTGAAGCTATATCTGAGTCTTATTTTTTTACTTAGTTGTGCTTCGGGGCCGTGGTATTCCTTGGGATTTGCGAGGAAGAAATCTATATGAATAAAAGTCTTAGGCGGCCTATAAAAGTATTGATTCTTAATATACATGAGATCTTCTGCAACTTCGTTCCCAGAGTTCCTCTCCGACCCGTCCCTGGGTAGGAGAGCACCCTGGGAACTAGGTTGGGTCTTCCGCCGTTCCAACAGCTGTCGTTCCCTTAAATCCTTTAGCCCCTAATAGCGACGGGCATCCTATTTCTCCCTGTTGTATTACTTCTTAATCAAACGTAAAGGTGACGAGAACGAGGAATTGATTACTAGAGATAATATGCCCTGCATTTTCTTTCCAAATTCTCCTCTGTTTAGTTTCAAGAACAGATTGGAGGATATGCACGTTGATAAGTCAACTTAACTAAAGATTTTAAGGACATAAGAATCGAATTATTCATGCGCCAAAATGAAAAGATAATTTAATTATTCTAAGATTACGTAATAAATAAAAGGAAAAGTCACTGCCGCCTTTATAAAGTCATAAAGTGTTCATTATTATGTGCCAGTCGACGTTGTTGCAATGTTGCTCTCTTTTTCAAGTATGTTGCCTGTCCCCTCCACTCTTTTTAGTGGTTTTCTATTTTTTTTTTTTTGAAACTTTTTTTGTTGCGAACCTTTTACTGAGGTCAGGGCTTTCGTTTATCGCTTCTGTTACTCTGTTTTATAATGCGGAGAAGACTAGAAGGTGTACATAGTCATATTTGGTAGACTCAATAAACTCCAGTCTTATAAAATAATTAGTCAGAGTGGAATAACTCTTGTACTGCTGTTTCTAAGGCCAACTTGAATTGCTGTTGTATTACATTATGTTATGAATATCCAGAGGTTTCTTTACCAATAGGAAAATAAAGGTGCTTGAACCCTTAAAATATAAATTTTCGTTCAAAACTGTGGACCTTTTGAGTAGAGCTATGACAAAAGTTAATAAAGATAAATTGAAATGACTGGAGAGTTGTGCTCTTTTTGAAATATAAGTTCGAGCAATAGTTTCTTTTCATTTCACAAGGTTTTCTCTGTAGTATAAGATTTCGTATGTGGTAGAAATATCCCGAGGCATGTTACAGATATCACAATAGGGTGGTCATATATAGTAGTTGCTAGTCAGTTCGTCTTTTGGTGTCGGCCTTCAGATGAAGATCAGTGGTTGTTTTAGTACCGAAAGTAACCTCTTAAGTAGACGACCTTTGGCCCCTTTGGTTCGTCACACTGGTTCAATGAAGGAGAGATTGCCCCATTTCTTCTATTGAGAAACTTACGCCTTTTCTTTTCAACTTGATCGACAGATTGTCAAATGTGTAGGACAGCTTTGATAAACTTTTTCCTTCAGTTTTAATTGTTATTATTGTCATTTACAGTAGAAAAATCCAGGAGCCCATGACCACTAGTCATGAGTTCCTGATAAAAAATTCAGTTGCTTGAGGGCGCTCATATTCCCAGATTGGTATGGCTGTGCACTACTAAGACGCGATGGTCGATGGGAAGTGGTTTTGGAAGGGAAGGCCCGGGTCAGAAGCGAAAATACGAAAATGGCGGGCAAGTGTTTATTTCGTATCACGTCGGAATGGTTTTTGGATTATTGTATTTATCAATTGTGGAAGGAATTTAGAGAAAAGTGTTCGTTTTCAGATTGCTGGAAAGATCGTATCCAAGGTAAAGAGGAATTAAAGTTAAAATCTAAGAGATTCTGGGCAGCAGTGTTCAATACCAAAGTTAGGAAATTTGGGTTGTCTTTGATATGATTAAAATTTGTAAAGTTCGTGTCCCTACGTTTTGGTTCCCCAGCTTATCCTAGCTGTGTCTAGTCTTCAATTAGAAATTATTGAATGAGGCTGAGTAGGATGTGAAGAATTGTGCAGATCGAGAAGGATGTTTACGTTTTCCACCGAGGCTGAAGGGCAAGGTGGATATATAACGTCCTCTGAGAATTCTTTACGTTGTTCGACAGCAGCTGAAGACTATATACAAAGGACGCCTGTTCATTAAGTTGAAGACAATCGCTTCAAAATATTTTGATGGATGTTATCCACCAAGGGTGAAGGCCCAGATGGATTACGCCCTCCGAGATCTGTAAAATTCTTCACATCATATGAAAGCCGAATTCAATAATATTGTTTTATTATTCATTCAAAATGTTTCTAAGTCAGCTAAGTGTCGACTGCTTGAGTATCTCTAGAGCTGGCCGGTTTCGGGCTATCAGTACTCTAAGAGACTTGCACACACTCAAGTCCTCATCACATTCATCGTTTATTGCTAAATCAAGGTACTTTTATACATATTGGTAGCTAAATCATACGTGGGAAAATATAGTAGGGAATGCATGTGGTTTCATTTCTAGTAAATACCCTAATTTGATTGAAAGCTTAAAGCACTATTACACCTGCATTACTTATGTAAATCTTGAGCGGCTAGGTTTAAATAATCATTCCGTCCTACACAAAATCCTACCAGTTTAGTAGCTTTTACGCTTTTCCAATCGGAAAACACATCTAACTATCTGCTTTACACGATGCACATTTTTGCACGTTTGCTTACACCATAGGGATCATATTTCCGGTTCCTATCAAGCTAGTAATTATTGATCTATTGATCACTCAAGATTAACAAGTCATGATTCATTGTACAAAGTGTCACGAATTCTTTAACTTCACTACAGACATATTTTGCGTATTCTTGCATTTCTTCTGTTCAGTTAATTAGAAATAGGCCATTTCTGAGTTCCCCAGGGCCTCTGTATCAAAACGAGGTTAAGTACTCAGCCTTTTATATGGAAATGATTTTTAATTCTCATGCAAATAAAACTCATTTTCACAAGAAAGGTTGTGCACTAGGCCTCATTTTGAAAGTGAGGCTTTTTGGAACTCAGAAGTGGCCTATTCAGCTATTTTGTTTTGGGATAGCCGTGAAAGCCATTTTCTTTTTTAGTTCACTCAGCAATAAACAGCTAGGCTGCTACGCCTGGAATCGAGATTGATCTATGGTATATCATAATTTATACCTTCTAAAATAACAGTACTGATGGTAAGTGCCAATTGGTTATGGTGAAGTAGCCAGGGGGATTGGAGCCAATCAGAAACAACAAAAGTTTGAATGAGAATGCTCTACGTGTAAGTCATGATATCTAAATGAAGGTATTATAACTACTTGGTTTCTCAAACGTCTGCTCTGTCATTTTCAGATTATTTGGAAAACAAACCATTTGTTATAGGACAGGAGTTATCAACTAAACTTCATTGCATTAGATTTATCATTGGTTTGCATGAACACCAGCCAACAGACTCTCAGTTCAGCCAATCAAGTACTTATTCTAGCTCTACTGAGGATGAGAATGAATCAAGATTACTTGGACAGGGCTGTTTAAACTATTTTGATAAGATAACAGGAATATATCCATTTTCTGATGTGGAGAAGTCCCATATGAGAAGTGCTTTGAAGCTTCAGGTAAGCCCTCTATTGTTTATTTTGAAAGAAGTTTTTCAGTGAACCACCCTACAACACTTCCATTTGTAAGTTTAATTCAGGTGTGATGCAATACAGTCAACTCCTGATAATAATAATAATAATAATAATAATAACAACAACAACAACAACAACAACAATAATAATAATAATAATAATAATAATAATAATATACACTTATATAGCACCTTTCTCTTAGTGATCCAAAGCGCTTTACAATCAGTAAATACTTAGAAAACAAATAAATCAAACACAACATAACGGGATTTAAAACCCCAACTGCCAGGAGGCAACCAGTTGGCTATTTACAAGAGTGGCTGAGGATTTGAAATCGGAACAACTGAGAACAAATCCAGCAAGTGGCCAGAGCGGGACTAGAACCCGGGACCGCCAGATTGCGAGTCCGACACGCTGACCACTTGGCCATGCTGCCTCCCTAATAACTTGAACCTTCCAGGGAAATCGAAAAAAGTTCGGGTTATGGCGAGTTGACTATATAACTGAAAATAAGGAAATAAGCATATGGGTAAGGAGGCAATGTAAGGACATGTATCATGCACACTTCACCTCAAGGGCAGCAAGAGATTTATTGATATTTTGAAAAAGGAATTGAAGCAACAAAGCTTGAATAATGTTCAAGGCTGGACATTCTGGACATTGAATTTGAACTGGACAGACAAAGAAGACAGAGAATAGATGGTTTTTTAAAAATAGTAATAAAATTAGATTTTTCAGACTGTAGAACGTTGTCCTCTTTTTGGCTTGTCACGCTCTTAAAAGGCTGTTATTGAGATTATGAAAATGGTCTGCAGGGAAACAAAAATTGTTTGAGTTAGTGGGAGGTGCGAGTTATCGAGGTTTCAAGTTACAGAGGGTAAAATTAGAGTAAATATTATTTTATGTTGGAAATCCAGAGGTGGCTGGAAATAAATTTTGGTTCAAGTTAGCACAGGTTTGGGGAGTCAACTATTACCACTGTATATCAAAATATACAAGACTCTTGTAAATATTGATGCTGTACCATTCAACTTCATGATCATGAATTTGAAAAAGGGAATCTCAAGATTACCTCGGTAAAAGAAACTTTCTTAAAAATTAAGTTAAAGTGACAAAAAGAATTTAAAAAATCAATTTCAGTTAGTAAGCTGTAATATTTATTAACAACCACATTCTTTACTGCAGTTGGTTGCCTGGGATGTCTATGGGCAATACACACATGATAGGAGGGGTGGGGAAAAAATCAGCCCTATTCCCTCTCGTTTGTCTAGTACTTTACGCCCACGTCATACTTACCCTTGCTTGCCTGAAAAAACTTGAAAAATAAATGCCTGTTCTGCAGGGCAATAGCCAGTAACTTGAAATCTTAGAAAATGCTATTAAATTCAAACAGTAAAGTAAATTTGTGAGAAAATTTATAACTCACAAAAATACAATGGTTTTGTCCCTATTTTGAATTGTTCACTTTTTAGATTCTTTAAAAGATAATTTTTGTCTCTTGGAATTACAGATCATCTTATCACACTTTAGACATGGTGACATGAAAGGAGGTGAACAGTTGTACTCAGTTTTGTACAGTGATGACGGTGATGAAGAGGTATTTTTAGGATGCTTATGTCACTTTTCAGACTACCTTAATTTAGGTTTTGTTGTAATCTGCATCACAAACATGGTATACAAGTGCATCATTGTTTCACTCACGCTGTGAAATTCCCTGTGTTCACCGTTGTCAAAGTTGCATTACAATGCCCTTGAAACCAGAAAATGCAAGTGCAAATTACATTACAAGAATGCCTAAAAAATGCAGCAAGGGTTCCTTAGATCAAAGTTTCGTGATAAACAGGATAATAGTCATTTGTGTAATACAACCATGAAACATTCTGTTTTGACGCCACTCATGCAAGTTATTAACCTCTTCTGATCTCTCCGATCAAAACCACAATTTCATTGTCATGCTCAATGTTATAGAGGTGGTTCAAACAAGATTGTGCTGCCATGTGGAATGCATTTGTGCATGCATGCATGAGACTTTGCACTTACCAGTAAAACAATCATGTACACATATGGAAGCAACAATTTAGACTGAGTCACGTGTTCTCTATTGTCATTTTTTGTTGTTAACAGGAATATCAAGACGAGATCAGAGAATTATTTCAATCTGAAAATGACTCATGGAAGAAATTGTTCTTAAGAAAACACACATATGACAGATTCCTCAACCAGGTTAAACAGTTTTTTATGCCAGTGTGGAAAAAGTTTGAGGCACCAGTCTTAGAAGAGGTAACAAACTATATTTATGAAATTCAAAGTACTTCAAGTAATCAGTTGTATGGTTTTATCATTCCTATTATGTACTGTGGAACCTCTATTCAGGGGACACCCTCTGGACTGAATAGACGTGTCTCTTCAATAGCGGTAACAGATACAAAGATTATGTGGATGTTTTTCTGGGAACAAAGTTTGTGTGTCCTGAATGAAGGAGTCTCTTGAATAGAGGTGTCCCAAAGGAGAGGTTCCACTGTATATTTAACAATTATTCCACGAGTGCGTGTTGGATATGAGATGGTAGATAGCCAACGAGGGGTGTAGAGCGGAGTTGGCTATAATCATCTCATATCCAACAAGCACAAGTGGAATAATTATTTTATTAAAAACACCCACAAAATATCAAGAATTCTTCCCGACTTTATTTGTAAAAACAACCAATTTTCAGCTTGTTTTTAATTTTGAGCAGATGTGTACAGTTACCATATTTGGAGAGCATGGTATAATGGCTCATATACCATGAGTTATTGAGAGCTAAGCCAATCTGAGCTCTAAAATTGCATTATCCAATGATTCAGTTTTTAATAATATTTGATCTTAAATGAAATGTTATTACTCATTTCTGTAGACTTAGTAATATTGATATAGAGCACATCATGTTTAGGTAAAATTTTATTTGTTCAAAGCAAGGTTAAGATAACCAATAGTTAGCATGAAATGTGATTTCAGATCTAAACACTTACAGCACCAATTCAGGTTAATCCCCTTTACCTACAATTTCATGATTGGCTGCTTAAAAAAAGACACTCCAGAAATCCCAGGTTAGGGATAATTGGCCTTCAATCAACTGGGCCCATCACGATGACATTTGTGCAGTGGAACTGTTCGGTTGTAGACAAGATTCTGTTACCCTGCCCTACCCCTCCTTGGTCATCAGGATGACATTAATTTTGTGCAGTGGAACTGTTCTGTTGTAGACCTTGTTGTTACCCTGCCCTACCCCTCCTTCGTCAGTCTGGACACAATCACAATCACCCAAAATACTCTTGATAAGCTTATTGTTTCCCTTAAAATACAATGTCTAAAATAATCACAGTTGTATATAAAAGACAAGGCTGTGCTCTAGGAAAATTGAAGGGAGCCCAGTGCTCTGAAACTAAAATCTAGGGTGCCCAGCATAGGATTTGTATGAAAAAAGTTACAGTTTGTAGTCACCTGAGAGCAAAAGTTAGGCACCTGGGACCACTGGGCTCTTTTAGAGCATGGGCCTAGATCTATAAACTCACATGAGATACATTTTATGTTTTCTAGGCTTCATTTTTAGAGAATACAAATGAAGAAAGGTATGATTTGAAGAATATTTACCAAGTTGTGAATTACATTATTGAACACAGACATCTTGTCATTTACAATTTTATTATTATTATAACATCCACAAAAGTGGGAAAGCTTCACAGTTTGGCTAATAAGCAAGGAACTGGAAATTTTGAAGCTTTCAGTGAAATATTTGCTGACTACCCAACATTATTTAGTCTTAGTAATACTGAATAAAAACCATACAAATCAATCTCAAGGCCTTTGCTAACTACCACTCTGATTATACTACCTACTATTGCAAAACATTTTGACCGCAGGTTGGGCTGGTCAGTTGACATTGAACTTGCTTTGGATTATGAGTTTTCCAGTGTGTTTGGTAATGTGCAGGTTAAATAAGAGGATCTAAGGAGTAATCACAGAACTTTTATAATTTTTGTAGGTCCAGAGTTGATGCTATAACTATTAAAAATCTATACTTTGCTTGGGATGAATCAGAAGAGGCTGAAAAAAACTGGACAGATATTCTGGAGGGAACACACCCTGATATTATAGCCTTAAAAAGTAAGAGAAGCAGCAGACATACTCAAGATACCACTACCAGCAACAGCAGCAAAGACAAGAGTCCTTCAGTAAGGCAACTTAGACAGGTAAAGAGGGTGCTGGAAATATTTGCATGATAGCTAAATCCTTGAACACCCTGCCAGAAGAGCCGTTCTTTCACTTGCTTGCTTTCGGTGTACTTGAGGAAGACTCTGCATGAATTGAGTACCGGTAAGATCTTTTTTGAACATGCGTGGCATGTTGGTAGGATACAGGTTCTAACCCAGGCTTAATAGCTGTGTGCTTGTTACTGAGGGCTTGGTTATGACTATCAGTTTATCAATAAACAGATGTTCACACGTGAAAAAAAAAAACAGTTTGACAAAAGAGAACAAAATTGCCTAGTCCAGAAGTTTGGGCCGCTGTGACCTCAAAGGTTTGTCGTGATTCAGGCAGAGCATCCTTTGATCCTCTTCACTCAAGAAGACAAAAGAAGGCTCTTCTTGCAGGGTGCTCCTTGAATCTCTTGAAATTAAGTAATGCTGGTAAATTTTTTCTCTACTCTTGGAAAACACCCAGAATTTTATAATTATATACATTAGCATGAAAAAGGCATAGGATGAGGCTTGCAAAATTTATGAAATTTACATCCAAATTTCAGCATTGATATAATGTCTGCAACGCAGACATAGCAATAAAGGCTTTTTAGTTACTTGGTTAGGAAACTTGGTTAGGAGCAGTGTTCTGTAAGGAGAAGTTGAATATTGGTTAAGGGATACCAGGGCTCAAAAAAAGTTCTGTCCAGTAGTCTGGGACAAGTTAATTTTGTTATTGGGCAAGTGACTTTGAAAGCTTTCTTGTCCAAAGGGAAAGGGTGGGTCCTGGAAAGTCATCCTCTAACAAAATCATTAACTAAGATGAGCAAGAAGTGGTTTTGGGTAATCAAAATATGAGAGAGATGCTTGCCCAAATGGCAAGCTGGAATTCAATTTCTTTTTCGAGTCCTAGATACAATGGTTAAATAAAAGTGTTCTAGCTGTACGGTCAAATGTTCAAGTCCTGAGCCCTGGAATTTTCATATTTTCACCCTAGAAAACTCTAGTGGTGCAAACCCAGCTATCACAGGAGAAAACAGAGACAATGTGTAACCGAGCTCGATTATTAGCTCACAAAGCATTTTCTTTTCGGTATTATTTTCCGGTTCCGTTTATCGTTTTCCCACGGTACGTGTTTCTTTAGTTCTGCTTTGTGGTTAGCCGTGTTTTATCTAGCTCTGTGATTTCTCCGCCATTACACCCTTAAACAGGAAAGAAATTAATTGATTTAAGCTCGCTTTAATTTGCCGCCATTGCTGTAGTTAACCGCGAAACTCTCCATTTTTGTTTCCTCCTATTGTATTAACAGTACACGTAGGTATTCTGGGGTAAAGCGATAATAGTGTTTTGCAAACAGGCGTATTGCCAAAAGGAAGATTTCACTGTTTTGTGGCTTACCTAGCTATAGTTGTCCAATTGTATTGCTAATAACAGGATGCGAGCTGTTTGTGTTAAGCGCGATATAAATACGCCTGCACGTAGCGTTTCTACGCATTAGTACAGTTCCAGTTGCCGCGTTCACTAGTCAAGCCGTAGGACATAGTTTTCTAGAGTTCTCCCCTCGCTGGAGTGGCGCTATTGCCCTTTTCATCGTCCCTTTTCTTTCCCTTTTTGTTGCTTTATTCGTTTTCCTAGTATTTGTTCTTACTGTATTTCTTTTCCACTAATTGGCCATTAAATTCTTGTTTGTTTTGTACACATTTGTCTTTCATTGGTTGTCATTCGCTACCTCCCCTACTCGCGCGGCTCGGTCACAAATGGTAATTCAGAACTCTCATGGTCTGGTGTTAATATATTTGTTTTCCCAAAGGAAACTAGAAGCAGAGCAGAACCAAGTAGTCATAAGAAGTCCAATGTAGCAGTAAATATTGAGAGGTGTGATGAAGCCATGCAGAGGTTAAAGAGTTCTTCAAGAAACCTTTTGTAAGTTAGAAGGTTTTCAATGTTTCTGGTTGTATATCCATTGGCTGCACAGTCTGTCTATGGTTTTCTTTGCTTTTGTTTATGTTTTTCTTTCACTTGAAACCAATTGTCAGAAGAGTTTGAATATTTTTTGGTCTTGTTGTTACTATTGTTAGTGATGTGTTACAGTTGTTGCAAATTTTTCAATCTTTTTAGCAAAGTTGTAAAATTATTAATTTGATCTTTACTTTTGACACCAATAACGTGATGGTGTTTTCCCTTAAAATGCACTTACGCATTCTAAGAGCCCCTGATCCGCGGGATACACATGTTAGAAATGGAAGTATGTTGAGGAAGGAGGTTGGGAATGAGGTCTAGATCAAATACCCTGGAAATGATTGTTTTTTTGCATCCAAATGTACATATGGTACCCCAAACATAACTTTTTTTCAGCGAGAATGATTCCTTTTAACTTTTTTACAGTCAAGCCCGGTCAAGCTTGCCCCCCAAGATTCCACAAATGAATTTACTATTTGAAAGTTGAATCCATTGGTAGTTGTAGATTTCACATTCATCTCTTCATTCTTGCATGTGTAATAAGCAGTAAATTTTCCCCCAAGGTAGTTAGGGAATTTCTACCAGCTCAATTTCCTTAAATTTGATGTAAACGTCTTGGAAGCAATTTTATCCATTCAATTTCAGATTTTCAATCTCACCAGATACATAAAAGTTATAGTAAAGGATTCACTACTAATTCATTGACGCCTACAGGGATGCAGATTTGAATTTGACACTAGTTATGGAAGAGTCTAACAGATTTATTTTTCAAATAACCAATTCATTAATAGAATCTTTTTTGAGGTATGCTTTACCTGGCTTGACTTTAACTATACTTCATTCTTTTGTTTTGTTTTATATCACAGTTCTGGTCTCAAAGATGTATACTCAAATATGGTGGCTGGAGAAGCAGGACCCAGTAAAGTTAACAGTGAAAATAATAATGACAATGACACAAATGATATCCCAGTCAAAAGACATTGTAAGGCAGTCATCGCTGAACCAGACAGGTTAGTTTCAATAAGAAATTATTCTCTTCTTTATATATATCTTTTAAAATCTGGGGCAGATGTATAGTGTTACACTTATGTCAATAATGTTGAATGTAAATTGAAATTCAGCTAAAAAAGTTTCAACATACTTTGACTCTCAGTTTCATTCCTAACCTTAATCATTCATGATCTTGAATAATGAAAAAGGAAATCAGGGTTGTCACTAAGATTTCAAGTTGCCAAGCAAATACAACAAGTAGGCAGGGAATCACACAGCTAGGGATTTCTTTTGTTTCTAGTTTTCTTCTATTTTCCAATAAAAGTAGCCAGGGGCCACTCTCTTAGTAGCCGGGGAAAATCCCCGACCCCTGGCTCTTAATGACAACCCTGGGAAATATTAGGGTCTTGTTCTAGTCTTAAGAGTAAGTTTCTTCTTTCAGTACTCAAAGGTTTTTTGTGGGAGGAAGCCTTATTTTAAAGTTTGATTGATGTTGATTTGGTTGTTATTAAAATATTATTCTAGTGCCAGTGGACAAGAACCAGATAAAAAAGGGAAAAGACCTGTAGAAAGTAGGTCAGCAAAAAGGCGATTTAATGAACATCAAAGTGATGCCGAGATATTGGACTGGGATTCAGATTCAGATGATGCTTTTGATGAAACAGAGATAAAACGGAAGACAATCAGTAAGTGGAGTCAATAAAAATTAGTTTATAATGAGAGGGTGTTATGAAAAAACTGTCTTGCGTAACTAGCGTGACATTCTTGAAGCTTCCTGAGTGTTCATAGTTTATTTATTTTAGGACCTTATGTGAGTGTTTCTAAAGCGGTATATTTTGTACTCTTTCTGTAACTAGACTATTTCGAAAGTTCTAGAATCTTATTGCAAAAGTATATACCGGTAAGTAGACGAGTCCAAGCAAAGTTTTAACTAGTTTTCACAAGCCAAAGAGAGTTTAACGTTGGTCGAGTTTAGTCAAGTGTGATGGAAGCAGTGTTTATTCAAGTTGGTGGAGGCTGTGTAAGATTATCGAGTTACGTGCAGTTGTACAGTTTTACTTGGTGGAAACTACCTTCATATTTGGAATAAATCTTCTTGTTGCTGTTCCGACAACCCTGTGTTCAGTTTAGTTACAAGCTGCGTAACAGAGGGCAAATAAACTGTTCTTTTACTGGTAAACATCAGGCAGTTGCTTTAATTTATCATTCCTCCTTGAAGTGGCATAAAAATATTGTACTGTCACAGTGCTTTGGGCAAGACATATAAAGTATAATAATTGTACTTTATTAAATTACACTGCAGGTACCCCACAAGCAGTGTTTTCTCCCGGCTTGACACTACGCTACAAAGGGAGAGAAACCACTGCAAGCAACCCTTTGCTTCTTTGATCGAGCTGCCATCCAGCACCAGGGATGAATATTAAATAAACTTTGACGAGCCAAAACCTGTTTAAAACCAGTAAGGCTCTCGCACATTTGCTTATGCTATAACTGCTGCCTTAATGTGAGCATCTGCTGTGAATTTGGGCTCTTTACATCTTAATAACGATTATTGCTACCCACTTACTTTGACAAATATTGGTGAAGCCAACTGGAGTTGACTTCCTAGGAACCATGTCCAAGTTCAGAAAAAAAAAAATAGAATTTTGTTGTTGCTTGTTTACCTTCTCTGTAAAACACAAAATTAGGCATTTTTTTTCATGACATAGTCATGCAAAACTGCAAAGAAATAAACAAAAAGTATGTGATGCACATACAAAGTTGCTGTTTTGCCTATTAAAACCTATTAGTTTTTTAATGCTCTCATTGCTGTTGCATCATGATCTTATTAAGTCTCTAATGTTTCTTGCAAAACAAGAGGAAGTGATGTCATTTGAGATTTTAATGTAGGCATCATGTGGATGCGCATGCTTGATGGAAAAGCAAATGGGTGCCCACAGTGGTTTTTCTTCCTTTGTAGCGTAACGTCTGGTCTGGAGAAAGCACTTCTCGCAGGGTAGCTATTAGGGAGAATGCCAGAGATTATGATGGCAAAAAGAACATCAGAAAAGCAAGCAAAACGACAACTCTTTTAGTGCATCACATTTTTGTACATTTTGTTGCTGTTATTGTATTACAGTGAAGTGAAATTGCCTCATTTCACTTTTTGTACAAAATGTAAACACAAGATTCTGTTTATTTTCTTCTTTTTTTGAACTTTGTTACAGTTCTCAAGAATTCAACTCAAGAAAAATTTGGCGTACATTTGACAAGTTGACTATGTAATCATGTTCAATAATAATATTATCAATAATAATGATTATAGTAATAATATTATTATTTTAATTATAATAACAATGTTGTCTTTACTTGTTTTATAGTTGCATATTTTAAGTTAAATTCTTTTTTTATGTTAGGTATTATACTATATATATTTATGTGAGTCAAAGTGAAATCTCTAAAAACCCATGTTTGGCAAACATTTTTGATTGTCTACAAGTCACTAACTTCTATGATGCTTCTTCTACAGAACTGTCAAGCCCAAGAAAAAGGGTTCTCAATGTGAAACTTCCTGTTAGAGAGAGGCGAAGGTTCTGGACTGACAAGGAAACAAAGTGGTTGATAGATGGAGTGAAAACCTATGGAGAAGGCAACTGGGCAGTAATTCTAGATGCATACAACTTTGTTGGAAGGACATCAGTACATTTAAAGGATAAATGGCGCAACTTACAAAAGAACTAGTACTGGTAACCATTGTAACAAAACTATTGCAGAGCTGTCATTAAAGCCCGGGTCTGGGGTTTGCCTGCTACTCTGAACATGACCCCTGTTTACAGTATTTTGAGTTCATAGATAGTGAAAGGAAAATGAAACCTAAAGAACTTTCCTTGATGTTCAATTCCTTGCCTACTAAATAAATAATTAGTAGGTAAGGAATAGGCAATTATTGCATATACCGGGTAACTTGAAATCTTTGTGTCAGCCCTTCTAATGGATGGTCAAAATGTCTGTCAACTCTGACTCTTGCTTGGCCTTTAGCATTTACAAAGATGTTCGCATCACTTATCAGCTGCGTTACTTGTCAGGGCATAAAAACCTGGCAATTTGAAATCTTAGTGTCAGCCCTACTCATGGGTGGTCAAAATCATTGATGTCTGTCAAGTCTGACCTGAGATACCATCCAAGCAGAGGTTTCTCTCTTTCATGGCCTTTAGTGTTTACAAAACTGTTCTCCTCTCTTGTCAGTTGCTTGTGGAGGCATAAACAAACCAACAATGTAGCTTACAAGCAATGTAAATGCTAAACCTGAGATGCTGATACATTATTAATCATTATTGCCTTTGTACAGCTTTGCCCTCTGAACTTCAAGGATGCTTTAAATTTTCCTGTGTGAAGGAGTTCGGTAATAATGGCCAGACCAGTCTTTTACTTTTAATAGAAAGTTGCAAGATAACATAGTTACACTAATATATAATGCCCATTGGAGGATAAAGGTTTATCAAGTGTGATGGTTGTCAGTCACCTTACAAACCAGCTCACCTTAATGCAGTTTATCTGTTGTGGTTCAGTTTTTGGCAGTTGCCTGTAAAGTGGCATCTCAGGTGTCTGAGTCTCATATTGTTTTCTGTTACAGTGTGGACACTGAAACCGGGACATTTGGAAGAAGATTGTCAAATCATAATATTTTCTGAGAACAAAAGATTCTCAAGTTTTATGCAAATGGACCAATAACATTCATAAATTTGAGAGCTGTTTCCTGAAAGGGTAGGTAAGTTCAAATGGTTTTAAAGTTTTCATTGGTTGCATAGTTGAACCTTGAGATTCATTGGTCTCCTTGCCAAAATATTTGAGAGTTTTTTTTTTTTTTTTTCAGAAAAAATTGATTGGACAATCTTCTTACAAGTGTCCCATTTTAAATATCAGTACTGTAAAAAATAGTTGACTTTATATCTTTATATTCCAAATAGGTTATGAGTGCAAAATTTATTTAAGCTGTGACAAAGCATTCAACGAAGGCCTTTTATCATGTCGTAAATAAAGTCAAGTCCAAGTGTTGTAAATAAATATATGATTCATGTTTTTAGTACATCTATTTTTGTATCAACAAAGTATCAACAAAGTGTAACAAAATATTTTATTGTGATTTTTTAACTGGAAATACACTTTATAACCAACACGTCAAGTATATTTCTGTGGTGTGATTTTTAGTTTTCTGTGTTTGAAAGTGGAATGCAGAACTTTCCCCTTACAAGTTACTTGATACAATGAGGCTTTAGTAAAGACAAATACATGAAAGTATGTATTTGACATTGTGAATTGTGGGATACAGCTTTTAACAAAATAATTGGATTGTTTTCTGATATAGGATTGGTATTTAATTCCATAAGAAAATGGGGTGAAGTATCATGGTATTGGTTTTTCAAGATGACCTCTCACGCAGTGTAGTAGATATTCCCAGACAACTGCTGACAATGTTAGAAATTGATCCAAAATAGTAAAGTTCACTGTTGTGACCCTTAGTCTTGCAAACGTGGAGTCTATTTTTGTAACAAACGTTTTTAAAAAAGAAAACTCCGTTTAATAACTGTACCAGTTGCTCTTCTTTGAGCTTTATTCCCACAAAGGCTATGTGCTTCACAGCTTTCAAGGACACTTGGACCGACTTTTCAGCTTTTTGCAAGACCCCATTCTCTTCACTGTTGATGGCTAGATAGATAAACCCACTCACTGGGTTTCATAACACTTATTTCTCCTTGAAAAAAGGAAAAGAAGGAATTTGTTTTGTCCTTTCTGCAATTAAATTGGATATCACAAGATGCAAGAATACTTCTGTCTGCCAAGTCCCTGTTTTTACTTGCTAACATTTCCGAAGCAGAGTTCTCAAAACTCTAATCTACGAAATATAAACAGGAAACGACATTTCCATATAAGGATATTTGATATTTCAGTGGTAAACATTTCCTGAAGTGGTTTATATCACGAGTTTTGAGGAGCCAATCGCATTTCTAGATTCATTCAACATCCGGTTAGGGTTTTTCCCCTTCACCACATTGTGATAATAATAAATTTCCCAGAAAAATGATAAACTCACCCTGCCCTCTACCCCGCGTGCAACTACAATGCAGGTTTTCTTTATTTACTTTTTTTAACAAATCCTCTTCGCATTTGAACTCATTTGGGGGGAGTTAAGGTCAGATCTCTTAGAAAATCATCTGGGCAAACCATAAAAATTACTGGAACTTAGGGGGAAAGAAATGGGTTTAGAGAGAGACAGGTTAAAAAAAAATGATCAACTCTCTCCCCACGTGCAACTACAATGCATGTTTTCTTTATTTTCTTTTTTTAAAAACTCCTCTTTGCATTTGAACTCATTTTCCAAAGCTGAATGTGTCGGGGGGAGTTAAGATCAGATCTCTTAGAAAATCATCAGGGCAAACTACAAAATTAATGGAACTTATGGGGAAAGGAAAGGGTTTAGAGAGAGAGAGAGAGAGAGAGAGAGAGAATAGAAATACTGTGCTTTGACAAGTTGTCTTCACACAGTCAATTTTATCTGATGTTGGTTATAGACTTTTGAAGATTTGGGTGGCCCTGAAGAGGGCCGGTGTGTTATCGTCGATCTGTCTTGTGTCTTCTTTGTCTTGCTACTTGTCTTTACGGTCTTCTAATTAGCTGTGTTCTCTACATTACTTCATGTCTTGATCTTGTCTTTTTGTCCACCGTGTGCTTTTGGGAAGGAGATACTTCCATTTGCTGGCACCTCCAAACTTCCTCAACTGCGGTTTTTGTCACTGGATGATGATGATATGATGATGATGGTTGCTGTACTATCTTCGCACAATTTTTTCGTCAACTTCAACGGTCTGTGTTTTCAGTATTCTATGTCCTATTCTTAGTTCTGTGATGTTGAGCAATATCGTCACTGTCCATAATTTTCTAATTCTAGTTTCTATCTTAAACAAAAAATTCAAACACTACACGTTTGTTTTACACTAACATCTTGTGAGACCTAACGAGATTTCTGCTTGTATACCTTTTGTTTAAAAACGAATCAAGTTAAGTCAAAATGTACAAACAACCTACGATGAAATTAAAAAAAGCGAAAAGAATTCTTAAGTAAACACGTTCACTATCGCCTAGGCGTATAAAGCTTTTTACGTTTGATATAATTACAATTTGAAAATAGTAGCATACGAATTCTTTTCTTACTTATTTACAAATATACAAATTTGTACAAAATCTACAAATTTGTCCTAAATGTCTTTTTATATACACTAGAAATCGCGTCCTTTCCTCGTTCACTTTCGCTTTCATAGGTCTTGCTATTGTAGTTACGACTCGACTCCGAGTAACATACGAAGATGTTGTGACATCGCTACTACGTCCATGTCGAATTTGTGGATAGGAGAACTTATCCAGTGCGATGGTGGTCTCGGCAGATCGCTCGGAGGTGGTGGGCTGCTAAATTTTGCTCCCGCATACGGAATATTTACCGCCGAGTCAACTCTGTTTTCGCTTCGGCGTCGACGTGGAATGCTAACAGAGGTGGAAAGTTCCTCATCGAAGGCAGTCGTTGTCGGATCTTGATGGACTTGTTTTGCTCTCACAGAGCGATCGTTCCGAAATCTTGGAGCCTTTTTGGCTTTATTTTTGCGATGAAAGCTGTCTTTATTCGAAATTCGATGGCTTGGTGGCACTTGAGTTCCGAACGTCATCGTTAACAAATTTGCTGATTCTTAGATCGTTTACTCGTCGTTTATCCCTCTCTTATTCTGATACAATTTGAGCTTCCTATCCAGGTAAGAGATTTCTCTTCAGATACCTCTTTTTATCTCCTCAAAGCCTTGAACGCGAAGGCTTATGATACAGTTTTCTTCCACAACTGATCCTCCTCCAACAGACGCCAATTTCACCCAACTCAAATGAATCAAAGGAAAGACTCTTGCTTTATTATGATTACTGAAAGAACCAATCAGATTATTCTTGACGTAAGTAACGTCATAGCAACAGCCAATCAGCGTTGTGCTTTAGCACACACCCTATCATGTGATAAAGATGACGTTATACTAGCGAGATGGCAATAAGTGTTCTAATTTTAGCGGATAGGCTTTCAGTGTTTTTCATTTTCTTTTTCACGAGTCGAAAAGTATTCATTTGAATATTGCTTCGAGATAGTAAAAAGATAGAACAATAACAAAGCTGTTGAAAGGAACTGAGTATGATGGGTGATCATAGAAAGCGGATGCGCTGTTACGCATCGATTGCATGCTAATTTGTTTGTTCAACCTCAACTTCGAACTAGTTGAAGCGAATTCCGTCTTTCAGTCGAGTCTTTGCCTAACTTTGTCTATGATTTCAAACTTTTAGTTGTTTTTCCAAAATTAGAACAGTGATAAGTTAGTCAGGATGATTTTCGCAGTATACTTTGATTCCAAACACTGTAAACTGAAACATAAACGAAACGCAGACAGGCAGATGTCACGAACCAATCTCTATCCTTGATGGAACAAAGAGCTTTTCTGATGTGCCAAAACATCACTAATCTCATATTCATACCTCGACTTTTGCATTATTCATGTTTTCTGCCGTCAGAAAACGGTATTATGTTTCATTCTCGTGTGTTCTGCGAATCGAGAAACATGTACTCATTCTCCTTAATTCTCGCTTTTTTATGAAAGCATGTTCGATTGCCTCAAGACAACTTTAACCGTTTTCTGATGGAAACCTCAACATTCCAAGCTGAAAAGCACGATTGAAGTCCGCCCTCTTAACCGGAAGTGCGCTAAAAAGAAGTCTTTTTCAGCAGTAAAATATAATGCAGCAAGTTATGTGCTCTATATTGCTTCCCTTCTTTGTCGTACCTAGCCCCATTTTTAAACTGGTGATGACTCAAAAGAAAGAGAGTAATTTCCAATGAGCCCTGCACTGCGGACGAAAACCAGAAGTGACATTCGGAATAAAAATCACAAGATCATCAGGCGCTTCCGTTCAATTCAAAATTTTACCAAAGCGTTAATACAGTTTACAAGTGATAAATCATTTCGCAGGAATGAATATCCATATATTTGAAGGTAACTCATAAATCGCGATTCGCGCGTGAATGAATGTAGCCAAAGCCAAACGAACAATATCGCCCATGGATTCGGTGGGTTGGTGCTTGAAGATCTGTCAGTGACGTCACAATATGATGTCAAATGTCAACAAAAGACCAGGGGAGGTTTTCCATTGATCGATTTCACAAAGAACCGCAAGCCCAAAAGCCCATGTGCAAAGGAGTACTTTCTTGATATATACACTTACTTTACCTTCATTTCTTTCCATTTGTTCGGAACGATTTTAGCGCTAGTTCTTGAAAAGGAACTGAGTCGCCTTTATCTCTGAAAGTGGAAATTGTTCGGTTGAGGCCCAGTGAAGACTGAACACAAAAGTGCAAACATTCTGGTAGGTAAGATAGACTGTTTAGGATCCTTTTGGAATGAGCCATATGTTGGTTTGTAGTTATTGCTTTCAAAAATCGAGTTGTAGAATTTCATCTCCATAAATTACACAGAACTTGGCCAAATGATATTAAAATACGATTGACGGTGGAAAGAAAATTCTCCGGTCTGGGTAAAATCTTCGGTTTTACTTGCTGAAGCGCGCGATCGAACCTTGATCGAACGGAAATGTTTTTTTTCGGAAATTCATTCACATACGAACAGTTCGATGTGGATTTAAGCAGCTGAGTAATAATATAAGAATTGTTAAAGTTTCCACGGCTTCTTGAACGGCAGGAAAAACTATTCGCGCGAAAAATTGGAAAACACATGATGGACAAGGCCACAGTTTCTTGACTATCAGCGGGTCTGACCCGGTCGAGAAATTTGCGTTAGTATTGAGGTGGTTCTGCTTCTAAAAATCTTATATATTTACGAAAATGATTCATGAAATGGGTTAGAGAGAATGCTTCGAACCTTTTTATTTCAGGGTGAAACTTACGCGTCGTAAGTTTCATCTCTGTAATTTAATCACATGTTTGTTTCGATGCCATCACGATCTTTTCCCATGTACGGCCTGTAGAGGGACCTTTACTGATCCCGACTGATCCAATCTCGTTTTCACTTCAAGTTACGGTTGCCAGGCATATCAACAAAATTCGCGTTTAGAGCGGTATTGGCTCAATTCCTTAAACTTAACTTTATTACCAGTAACGGGAATGAGTGTTCGCCAGTGCTACATTTACCATACGACTTAGCTATGGCTGTGAAGTTTACGTCAAAACAAGAGCAAAAAATGTAGTAGCCAGCTTGAGTTTTTAAATACAGTTATTTTGTTGGTACTTCAATTACTTGTCAAAGAATTCCGACGTCGAGAGGATAGAAGGTCGAAAATGAACAGAACTTTTGAATTGAGTTTCCAATATATAAGTTATACAGTCTATATGTCCGAAACATAGCAACTTTTCGAGTCTACCGAGGAACGTTCGTGTGGGAAGTTTGATTAGTAAATTTTGCTTCAGTTCTATACACTATTGTAGAAGAGAAAGTTGAGCTACTGAACTGAATCATTCGAGGACGAATTTTAAGCACCAGTTTTCTTAATTTCTACCGAGGAAAACCATATGCAAATTTGTTTTGCTAATTCCGGAGTTCAGCTGATGTGCTGCCATTTTCTTACTAAAGTAAAACCGAGTTCTGTCCATCCGTTTAGAATTTATATTTTTATGACTGAATGAAGGCTAAAGAGAAAACCACGACTACTAGAAGGCTTATGGAAAAGTATAACCAGTTTGAGCTAACATGTTCTTTGCGGGGAGTATTTCTTACTGTTCTCTTTCATGCATAAATTACAAGTCAAAAGGAATTGTTTGAAATGACGTTGTGGTTCAATCATTTATTTTCTCTCTGACATTATAGCTTCTTTGTGGAGTTTCGAACTAATTTTGAGGTTTTAAACGGGAGTTTCTGTTCCTTGCCATGTGTGATGTGGAACAACGAGTGAATTCGGATCTTTGATCAAAGATTCTAATCGAAAATTGTGCGGAGCGCGTCCGTCACGCCTGGTCGCAACATTGGTAAAGAAGCGGCAAAATCAAAAGAAGATTGAAGGCCCTTGTAGTGATACGGGTCAGTAAATTTTCTGTGAGTAGAGAGCCTGTTCGCATTGTTTTAGTAAGGCAGCTTTTTTCTATTAAAAATTTGATTAACACCCAAGCACCTTTGTCAGTGCACGACTGTATAAAAACATACCCGTAGGAAAGGTGGCCGGGAGATTGTCAAGATTTTTCCCCCCAGATTCTTCTAGTTTGTGGTTTTATTCACTTATCAGGTTTCTGTCTGCGGCTCTTCACAAGGCTATTACAAACCTGGGGTTCACTCGTAAAAACGCATGTCCTTCCGAGTTATCACAAGACTAGCTCACGTAATGATATTTTTAAGTTCTGTTTATAACCCTGTTTTTCAGGATGAACTTGCCGCAATGTTTTATGTGAAAGAGGGAACGATTTTTTTAAAGTAAACTCAATTTTTTTTTTCTGTGGGGCTTAACTGACAGGAAACATGATTTATTTAAAGCCTTAAAGTTTCCATCAGTTTGATAGAAATGGGGAAGTTTGTTACTTGTGACTGGATCAAAAATAGAAACATTGTGTTGCAGATCAGAAAAGAACCCTTCTCTAAACTTTGTTCATAACCAGCTTGCTTAAGTTTATTATTGTGGACAATATGTGACTCCTCTTAAGTAAGGGATGCATTCTAGGTTGAAAAGGTACTAAGAAATTTGTGGCTAGAACATTCATAAATTATTATCACATGAAATTAGGAATGGAGACTAAACTGTGACCATAAGAAGAGGCCAAGGAATAAAAATAATGTCCAGCATTTTTTAGTCTCCGTCTTGAAATTCGAGACCTAAAGTTCCAGACAGCTTAGCAACAACAATGTTGCTGTGAATCAAAAGATTTGACCGAAGAAAGATTATAACGTCATGAGTGCCTTTTTATATATATTTATAAAAAAACTGACTTCACAATTCCAGCTAGTGCCATCAGATTTTTTTTTCAGTTTAAGTAAATTCAATTTCTGACTGCTTAAGTTAATCTGATATTTTGGGTGTCTATGTATAAGGTTGAGAAATTCCAGTTCTCTCATGATAGAAGCCTTACGTTTGTAGGTATTCGAGCAAGGGGTTATGGAAAGGATTGTTATTATCCTTCCTCACTTGTAGACATAGTAGTTTTAACATTGGAGTTATTATTAATGTCGGTGCAATTCCATATAGTTCGACCTTTCAAACAAAACTTCCTTAGGAGTACTTTTGCGTGGTGTTGTTTGTTTCTTACTCGGATTTTACTGAAAAATAAAGGCTAATTACTAGCATTTTTTAAACTTTGCCTGTGTCCACAACTAGGATTAAAAGGTTATAGTTGTTTTGCCTTATTTGTTTCAGGTGTGGTATGAAATGGCCAGAGAGTTAATACCCAGCTTGCCATCCTTCCCCCCTTTGGAACATCATTCTTCTCAAAGTTGCAGTACATTTGTCAAGGTGCAACTTCAATTGAGCATACAATAAACAATATAATATTAACATTTTTTAAGTGACGTTTTACTTTATGAAGACTGAAAAAAAAAAGAAATCCAGGTGCTAAGCTTTAGCTTGACATAGCTACCAGTTGTCTCATTCATAAAATAAATTATATTGTTTCATGTTCCCATGTGCGGTAAAAGAAGACTGTGTGTCAAGTTCACACCTCAGAGAAAATCAGTCTTGCTGTTTTCTTGGCACTTACACCACAGCTTTATCAATTAGCTTTCAAGAGATAATAGCACAGGTTTAGCAGATGACGAAACCTGTGACAGTATAAATAAAGCAAGGTTTCTGTGGAGCTGTGACAAATTTTATTCCCTTAAGTTAACTAAACAAGACGGTGTACAAGCATTACCATATGCAGGCATCTTAAGGTGAATATGTGACCAATTTTTACCTACTAACATTGTTCTCTGTAGTTTTCTCTGCAATTATTACAGTGGAACCCTGATAACTTGAACTTGGGTGACTGTGGAATTCCTCACTAAATTGAACTAAATTTCCTTTCCCTTGATCAAAAAGTCACTGAAATTTACCCCCATAACTAAAATTTTGGTTCCTTTGACTCCACTTGGATGCCATCTTATTTGTTCTTCTTGCTGTATGAGGGTAAAAATGCTAAGCAGTTTGGTTTTAATTGTTGAAGTGAACAGATCACATCATAAAAAAATGCCTAAATATGTTACTGTTTGTGATGAAATAAGCTAAATTTGCACTGGACAATAAACTGAAGTGCGAAAAAATTGGTAAATATCAATTTTTAACATGGCAAATTGAATTTTGTAATTATCAACCCCGATAAGTGGAACCCTCGCTAACTCAAACTTTTTTTGTTTCCCTTCAGAGTTCTAGTTACCTGGGTTCTACTGTACATTATATTCTTTACTGTTTCTCTCAGTGATTCATATTATTTTGGTTGAAGAAATCCAAAAAATTTATCTCTTTTTTTTATTTCTTTTCAGAGAAATAAATCAAGTTGTACCCCCCAAGTGATTGACCTCACAAGTGAAAACTCATCAACTACTATGTCCCATCAACCACTAAGGCACATGCCTCCTTATCCACCCCACCCTAGTCACTCGTCAGCATTTCACAGAGTAAACCATCTACCTGGCCACATGCCTGAAACTCATGGGTAAGTAGATTATTTTATTATCAACAATAGTAATACAGTCAATCTTCCATGTGTGACCAACCATCATAATTAAGCAACCACTTCCCATTTGCGACTATCTCAATCCAAAACACAGAGTGAAAACCATCCTAGTCAAATCCCTCTTATCAGAATCTCTCATAAGCAACGACGCCCACTTTTTGCTTAAGGGCAGCGCCGTAGCTAGTATGAGGCCAACCGAGGCACTCGCCTCGGTAAAATTTTGACGAATTTCACCGATCATTTTTATTTTACATAAGCGATCATCGGAGCCTCTCAGAAAAGATTTCGTGGCCAAAATATAACAGTTAAAATATATATATATATATATAAGCAAAATTTTCGCCGTATTAATACTGAAAACGCAGAAAACGCTGCAAATCGCATTTCCGAGAGACTAAAGTTCAAAATTTCTCGGGGGGGGGGGCATGCCCCCGAACGCCCCTAGCAACTCCCGCCTGCCTCAGTTGGCCGTTTGGGCTACGGCACTGAAGGGTTGTATAATTTCCATTGGTTTTACCTTCTTGTAAGTGACCACTTGACACATGATGTGGTTTCTGTTGGCTGTATGTAATATGGCTGCTGAGAGTATACAAAGAACTTTCAGTGACAACATGGAACTGCACTTTACACATAACTTAGAAATGGCATGCAATGACTCATCTTCCAAAAAGATGTGTTAGGACATGTTATCTAGGAAGAGGCTCCCAGTGTTTGTCGATTGTGTTATGCTACCACTACATCTTTGCATATTGTGTGCTCACTTATGGTGGGTTTATCCGCTGTCCCCCTCTCCCCCAAGCAGTGTTGATTGTGCTGAATTAAAACTTGAATGCGTAGCATTAACCCTGCACCAGAAGGGGAATGGGGGAGGGAAGATGCCTCAATTTGACAAGTTGGTGTGTTGTATCCCAAAATGATTGTTTTAGAAAACATGCTCCAGTATCTGTTATTGCTCTTTTCATTGCTAAATGTGATAAATTAATACTTTTTTTTCAGAAACTCGTCCAATCATACTTGTCCTTTTCTTCAACAACAAAGGCATCAACAGCATCACCACTCATCCCACAACAGACTTTTCCATCCATCAACAAACAGTAATTTTTGTCCGCTAAGTATGGCGTCGACGGTCCCTCTTCAGCACCATCCACCCCACCCGGGACCTCCAGTTATTATCGACGTTGATCAAATACCAGATCATGTAAGGGCAGTTCCAGTAACAAGTCTTCCAAACTCATTGCTGGTCGCCAGTGTGCCTGTAGCAGCTCCAACTTATATTCAACCACATCAGCCTCCAGTGAGTTAATTTTTTGTAGTAGTTATTGATTCAGAAGTGATGTGCAGATCTGCGTTTTAAGGATAACTCTGTTTGGATATTACTAGCAATAACCAAAGGTTAGGGTTAGGGTTAGAAACACTCGTTCCAACGCTGTGCTTTGCCTTAGTTTCTTTAAAATGTGTGTGATCAGATTACAAGTGATAGGAAGTCCAAAAATACTGGATCAGGTTGCATTCTTTGCATTTTCATTCTTAATGGAAGACCAAATAATGAATGCTGATTACATATGTGCCATGCCTGCATGATAGCAACCTAAACATTAGGATTGCACAATAATAATATTGTCATGTTTGGTAATTAAAGTAAATCATTGCACACATAATCAGTTAGTGATGTTAAACTTTGTAATATTAAAGAATAAATAAGAATTTCTCTCACTAATTTCTTTAGATGGATGTCGACCCCAGAGGAAATAATGGAGTCAGCACACACCATCACCACCACTACCACCACCACCACCACCACCATCATCATCATTTTGTGCAGCCACCATATCAAGTTCCACAAACACAGGCTTACCACCCTTACCCCACACCTGGTGGAATGGTAAGTACATTAAGCTTCAATTGTTTTCTCCAAAACAAGTTGTTGATTGTAGTAAAAGCAACCTACCCAGGGAGGGTGGAGGGCTTTAGTGATAATAATGCTGGGTGGGCATTTACAGGGTTAACGCTCATCAGAAACTTAAGTATTTTCCTACTTTTCCCTGACCTCTATGCAGTTTTTTGCATTAGGTGGCTAATAATAAAAAATAATCCACATACTTTCACTTGAGCTTTTTCCATAGACCATCAAGAGAGAATATACCTGTCTTCATTTTTTAACTCTCTTTACTGGAGTTTAGGCACAAGGAAAACACAATTCTCTGACTTTGACAATATCAGAGAACTTCTCCCAACCTCGAGACTTTTTTATTTTCCCGATTTTTCACTGAACATAGCAACTGTAATTTACAGGTGTTGTGGGCTGTTTACCATTAAGGTCTGAGTGTATTATTCCATTTGCCGGTTTTCATCATCAATAAAATAGCCATTACTTTATGACAAAATCTAAATACGGCTTGTGACTGAGAATATTTTGAATGGCAGATCTTGAATTTTTGCTGATAAAAAGTTTGGTTCCTGATGAGGTCATTAGAAAAAAAATAAAGGAAGCTGCCACAAAGAGTTGTCTCTGTCCATTTAAAAGTTTTAAATTCACAAAAATAAATAGTTACATTTCCATTTTCAGCATCACAGACACCACAGAAGATGGCATCAAAACGTCTCAGCGCATTCGAGTTGGTCATCACGGCGTACACATGCAGCACCTCCTCCCCCACCTTCCATGCACCCATATCCTGATCTACTTTATCATCTTATATCTGTGATGTCAATGCAGCCCATACCAACACATCCTCCAACCCCTGCACGGGAAGAAGAACTGCACCCTCGTGAAAATTATGAGGTATTAAACTTTCTTTTGATTGATTAGCCTGAACCCATCAAAGTTGTAAGCCTTTGGCAAGCCTTGCATGGTTGGGCCGGAGAAGGAAGTGCTATTATCTGGACTCATGAACCATGAATGAAAGGAACTGTGTCATGCAATTCATAAAATTTCAAACAGTGAAACATGAAAATAACAGCTCAGAACAAGTAAACAAGTAAAGTTTTGAAAATTTTTGAAAATAACAGACAAACCTTAGGTCATGGTAAGCTAGAAAAGGCCATGGAAAAAGTCATGAAATTTGAAGAACTCAAAAGAGTACAAACCCTGATGAAGTAGAGAGTCATGAAACATCAGCCCCTTTAAGGGAATAATTAAGTGATTGTTTTTGTAAGACATTGGACCAATCTCTAGTTTTTGTGCTTTCTTAAACAACGTTTTCATGAAAATCTTCTTGCAGACTCTTCTTAATTTTGCTGAGCAGATGGGCGAAGCAAAGCCAAAAGGGCTCTCTCGTGTTGAAATCGATCAGCTCCCAACATATCGCGTTACAGCAGCATCAAAAAGTGAAGATGACGACAAAAGATGTGTGGTGTGTTTAGTGGATTTTGAAGAGAAACAACTTGTAAGGGTCTTACCATGCCTACACGAGTATCACACAAGATGTATTGACAAATGGCTTAAGGTAAGATATTTGAAGGATTTTTGTTAAATTTATTGCTGTAGGAATGTGAAATCAAAGATGAGTATTTTCTGCTCAATGTGGTACAAGGCACCAAATCAATGTGTGGCTTGAAATTTCACAAGATTTTTATAAAAGCTTTTGTAATTGAATATTTAACTGCCTGCCTAGACTACAATGTAGGTACATTAGAATCTTTACTTCACAATAATAAATTTTTAAGTTACAATCTTTGCTTGTCAGTGTAATATACAACAGTCAGTCTTTTTCTTATGATGCCAGTATTTTCTTCTGAAAGGATCAAAAGTTCAAAAAAGTTTGTCCCTAGAGCTACAGCAGTCTGAAGACCAAACTCACAAAAATTTGATCCTACCCCTGTAAAGACTTTATGCCACACAGTATCCAACAAATGCTAAACTGTTAGTAGAGTGAGAAACTAGTATGTGTTTTAACCATTCCTTTTTCTTACAATTTTGTGTGAAGTTGTCAACTTTCTCTCTTATACTTTTTGCAGTCAAACAGAACATGCCCCATATGCCGAGCAGAAGTAAATGTCAATGCAGAGTGAAGTACAAGAGAGGCGGAATTGAAACCTGAAGCAACTTCATCGCTAACTGAAGGAAACCACAGGGATGAAAAGAAGGATACAGAGCCAAAGCATTCAATGCTTTTCAATTGAATCACTGGGACATACTTGTTCATATAACCTTACATTTTTAAGGCAGAAAATTGCGGCCTGCCTTTAAACAATTTGATAAGAGCTGGCAAGGCTGTAAGAAGCAAAGACGTTTGGAGGAAATATTTGGTGCTAAATAGGGTGTTGATCTTCTTGGGCCCACCTTTTGTTTAAGACAACAGCATATCAAGAAATTTGGGCAAAACTGTCACGTTCTGTTCAAAATTATTGTGGGATGGACGATGGCTAATCTGTTGCTATCTTAGGGTAAAGTTACTTGTAACAATCAGTAACCAAATCATGCTAACTGTAAACATGTATATACAGGTGTATATCTGCCAATTCCAAAAGTCAGTCAGTGGCAGGAGATTTATATGCCAGGATTAGACCTAATCATATATCTCTAGTTCTCAAGAAAATGATTGTGAAAAAATACCCTAACAAAATTGATGATTTGGACAGAGAGTTGGGGCGAGTCAGAAAATGATTCCAAGGGAGAGGCTGGCAGGTCACAATACGGAAGGGGAGAGGAGGAAAAAATATTTTCCCTGTTTTTCCCCTTGCCCCCCCCTCCTCCCTAGTTTTCAAGTTGTTTTCATGATGGCAGCTGCAATTAATGTACCTCTTGATCGCGCTTTCGTTAACAGGCTAGGGGAAATGCAATCATTTAGATGGACCTTTCTTTTGTTACATTGGTTTTGAGTTTTTTCCACTTAATTCTTCTTGGAAAATGTGTCAGTTAATGTTACAATAGCTTAACCAGGAACAAAAATTTGGTCCACAATGGTAAGCTGGCTTGAGATCAAAGTTTCAAATTTTCAGGTTACAATTGGCAGGTATATACATGTATATAATCCTCGGTACATGTCCAAAAGAACTACCAGTACGTAAGAATTACTTTTAAAATAATCAGGACATAAATCTGTGGTGATCATTCCCTTTTGCTCATGATGCATTTGTTTGATTTAGCTTGATAGATATGATAGGGAGAAAATAGATACTGCATGGCGACAAATGCTTAGGGTGTAAGGGTTAAGCTGATGATACATGAGGAAGTACATGTATGGTAGGTTATCTTGCGGTCACTACCCACAGCTTTTCAGTGTGTTTATACAAGTGTATAAAAGAACAACTTGCAAAGGATTTTTGTGTTGACAAATGAATAGTTATACATGCCAAACTACCATATTTTGTTCCCCCTAAAGCAAAAAGAATCTTAACTGCCTTTTTCCAAGCCTTGACAAGAGTTTCTATTTTGAAATTACTGAAAATTATATGAAAGTGTTTCTGCATGATGATGGTCTGACTGTAACCTGCCGCACTTATAGGAATGTAACCACAAACCAACCTAAAATGAGCTTAAATCACCAGAGTATAAATAGACACTTATTACAGACATGTTAATTAGCCATTATTTGGGTTTGCTGATGGTCTATTAAGTATTATAATGTGTCATCAATTCACAACTTGCCTGGGAAAATATTCATGCTTGCATTGTTTTAGCCTGTTTGTTGGTACTAAAACATTATTGTTGTGAATTTAAAAGTTTGCATAAAAATTTTATCGCATGTATGGGTTATTAGCTTTTCAATGTGCTTCAATTTTGGGCGTTAGGACACATTTATACAGTATACTGTAGTTGGTACTGGATGTTTACCTATTCAAGTTACATCACATTTTTACTGAGAAAAAGAACCTCTGATAAATACAGAACTTTACCCTACTCCATTGCAAATAGTTAATTATTCATCAGCCTTATTACTTAGCGTTCCTATAATTCTCTGCAAAAAACCTTTTATGTCACAGCTGTTTGTAAATAGACTAGCTACTATGGGTAGAAGATGAGCTTGATATGAAAAATGCAGAACTGGGAAAGGAATACTACATGATACTTATAATTTTTATAAAGCAATGTTGCATATATAGATATATAGGCTACGGTTTCATTCAAGTGTACAAATGAAGTCTAAAATGTGCAGTGAGCTTTAATCTGTTTGTCAAGCATTCTCATTTCCCAGTGGCATCAATCCCTTTGGTCAGTACAAATGATTGGGTCAGGTCCCAATCCTTGGCTGACTTAACCCTTTAAGTCCCGATAGTGACCAACATCAATTTTCTCCTAACAATATCCATATGTTGCCAAGAGAAATGATTATGAGAGTTAATAAAATGATCACCAAAGAAAAAATGCTTTGATCTGTTATCAAACTCTCTCAACTATTTTTTTAAGGAAATGTATGAAGGTCAGTATGGAGAATCTATATGTGGATATCGGGGCTTAAAGGGTTAAGGATCGAGGCCTCTGGTGATCAGAATGGTTGTCAAGCAACAGAACATTGTGATTGTTTCCATCAGTTGGACTTCTATACCTGCACATCCTTAGTCCTCTGTACATGAAATTGCAATGAAAATAAATTTCAAAATAACAACCTAATTGTGAAATGCTTATTCTAACTGCAAAATAATCTTTGTTTTAGTAGACAGGAACTAATTTTTGATGCAACCAACACATGGACTCATGGCTATAACGAAACTTCAGCTAAGCTATTTGAAATTTTGCCAACCCTCATATCTAAACACTGTTTGCTTTAAACAGCATCAAAAAGGCTTGTTGACCAAACACCTTTTGTCTGCTTTTGACAAAAACTGGGATCAGACTGGACCTTTTCCTGTAATCCTATCCCCAACTGTCTACGTGGATTGCCTCGTTCTGGTCTGGCTAGGTTTTGTTAATGCTTCCATTTTCTTAACAAAAACACCTCACAAACAGATCTAAAGGCAGAATGAGTCCCCTAAACTGCAGTCTAAGTTAGACTTCAATGTAAGATGTTTGCCAGTATTCCTTTTGTTTCACAAGCAAATTCAAGGCTTTTGGCTGAAGAATGTAGAAGCTTACCACATTAAGTCACAACTCACTTTATCCAGGTAAACCTTCAACAGAGGGGATACTTCAAAATATTAAGTGTTAAACTGTCATATTCTCCCTCCAAAATGTGACTCTTGTACATGATCGCGAAGCAAAAAGAGAATTTGATCTTAGATCAGGACTCACTTAAGCCTAGGGCCTTTCTCTTTGTACCACTGTGGGCAGAAAGGGGTGGGGATGAGGCTTGGCCAGGGAAAACCTAAATTTCCATTGCTGTACTTTAGAAAAGCAAGTACTAAACAACACAAATTTGTATGAACACAATATTATATTATTACCGGTAATTAGAAGGAGTGGGGGCTTAAATATAAATAACTATTTTTTGGTGCCTCAGACTAAGGACTAATAAAGAAGAGGGTAGAGGCTTGTGTGGCATAATAGAGAAAATAAAAATTTGAAAGTCAACATTTTGGTCTGTACAGATGATAATCAAAGTTGGAAATGTTAAAATCATGAATGTATATTAAAACCATTAGAAGTCTCTAGTGTTTCTGTGGTTTGGTGAGGTGAGAGCGTAAAAATATTAGACAGGCAGGTTATTAGCCCTTAAAGCCTCTTCATCTTCTCCACACTGTTCTTCATACATTCCTTATGGTACTGCTTGAGAGAATTTGTTGTAACATCACACCATTTCATCTTTGGTGATCATTTCATCAATTCTGATGACCTGTCTGTTTGATCAGGCAGTGTTATTGCTGGGAGAAATTGGATGTGGGTCACTATTGGGGGTTAAAAAAATATTGTTTATTATTATCTGAAGCAGTTGTAAGTTGTCTTTGGCCACCTATCACTGATCCCTGAGTATCTAAGGAGTGACATTTATCAGCCTGCAAAGAAAGTCGTGTCCGATAGCGCGGGACTAGTGGATTTTGCTATCATGCTAGTGAATTCTGTTCTTAACTTGCCAGATGGGCAAGTGCTGTTTTTTTTTGGCAAATTCAAATTACAGAAGGATTGGAATCAATCCTGTAATCAAAAAGAGTATTGGGGCTAGTTGAAATGACTGGGCTAGTACATGTTAGCTACTGCTTGCCCGAATAGCAGGCAGTAAAACAGACTTTCTTTGCACCCTGCTTTTATGCAACGTCTTGCTGTGTAAACAATCTTTAGCAACAGAGACAGACAGGAGGTTGCTCTATTCACCGGCTTGGCAACACATAAACAATAAACCTAAGAATGTCTGACAATGCGCAATTAAATATTAGAGCATGATGGAAAAGAAACACACCAGCCCTTTCAGAATTGATATCTGTTGTAAAGTTTAAAAATGCGATAAAGGAACAGGAAGCAGTTTTTATATATCTTGACCAATAACTTGAATTTATTTCAATTATTTATATCTGACTGTGTACAAAATACAAAAATATCACAACATATGTGCTTCTAAAACATTATTTCAGAATTTCACTTTCTACTAAAACTGTTTCTTAAAAACTGCTACAAAATGTCAATAACTACTTCCATTAGTAAAATAAGCATTACAATACACTTCTGGGATAAACCTTTCATTCAAAACAGATGGCTGAAAATTCCTCCACTTTTCAAAAATACATCATATAAATACTAGCCTTGTAAAAGCTCTGACTGATAAGGACTCTAAAAAGTCAGTTTCATTTGGATTCTAGGTTCTTTGTGATTTTATTTTCATATAATCAGGGAAATATAGCCTGTTCCAGGCTTTCAGCTCGTGTAGATGAGTGAACAGGGGGAAGAAACAGAAGAGGAAAAGAGTGGAAGGACCCTTCATCTTCCCAGACCTTTCCAATCTTTTCTCACACTTGCCTTTGCTTTCGCTCATCACTACTATATCAGTCCTTCCCTTTGCACTCTGTGGCAAACAAAGCCCTACTAAAGAGGCTATTTTACATAGAAGGTCTCACTGGGGTATACCACCCCACTTTCTCACCCACCCCACAGCTACAGAGAAAATTTTGAAAAATTCTTTGAGGCTTTATCAGGTATTGCAAAAATGAAATTTCAACACTCAATACAGCAGTGAAATCACCTGGCATGCCCAACTGTCTTTATGTTTGACTCTAGGAATTCCTGTCTTTGATCTAGAGTTGCATTAGAATTTGCTAGGTGTCAACAAAACCTGGATTGGATCAATAACCATAAGTCGCTAAAAGACTAAAGGTAAGGGAAAGAGTTACAGGAACTAAACTAATCCAGGTTTCGTTGTTGCCAAAAATTTGATCGCAGACTAACAATGTGACTGCAAAAATGGCCATCATTCATCATTGGGTAACAGCATATTAATAAACATTTTCTGACGTCAAAAGTACTCTTGTATTTTACCAAATCATGGTGATGTCAATGATCTTTTATGTTAAAATGTCACAAAGTGCTCAAGGCATTAAAATTCCTTTTCCTTTATACAGTATATAACACAATGCACCACTGGTTTCTTTCTTGGTCATAAATTGTAAATGATCAGTCAAATGTCTGTCAATTACTTATCACTTTTCTAAAAGTTTTGCATAATTATAGTGACCCAAAGTTAAGAGGGTAAGGAGGCTGAAAAATGGATCCAAGCCACAAGGTGTTGAGGTACTATCACATCAAATTATCGACATAAAAATTAATAAAATCTTTGCAAAAACAGTTACTATAAACCTTTAAAGTTTGCTACCATAACATTGCTTTCTTTTTAATTTTCCCCAAGCTATCTTTTCTTTTTTTCTAAAAATTAGCACTAAGTGTGTACCTAAAGAGGTAATCCATCATTTGCGAGACAGGCATCAATGTCAAAGTCTCCGAACAGATCATCAAGACTGCTTGGAGTTGAGGTTGACATCATGTCATCATCAGCATCACAGTTACTATCCACTTCCATCTTGACTTCATTTGCAAAAGACTGTAGACTACTGCAAAAGCAAGTAAAATAATAACAAACTTCAGATGCCTATAATTTTCATTCATAAGTCTATTCAAGTGTAGCCTGTGCACAGACAAAAGTAATTAACTCTGGTTAACAGAGTTTAGTTTTGTCTACGCGCAGGCTAATTCAAGCGCAAATCTAAGAAAAATGTACTTGTATTCCAAATTATCTCTTTAGGATTGATACATTAAAAAGAAGATAAAAAATTCTAGGAGTTTTCAAGAGTACAGATGTGCAAATTCCTGGAATCAGAACCGTCAATAAAATGAAGCTTAAATTTTGAATGAAGAACTATATGAATGAATAAACAAATAAACAAATTAATCAATAACCATAAGAGGCTTTATTTCTTCATTGCCTCCACAATCAACAATTTTAAAACTTCCAGGGTTGTTCCAAAAATATCTAAACCAGAGAGAATTTTTAAGGAGTTTTCCTGGGCCTTGAAAAAGAACTTATAAAATACTGGCCCAGGAGTGTTTTTTAGAAAATATACCTGAGTGTTAGCACAAACTGAACATTTCGATTACTATTATTTTCACATGAATTGGTGAATTTAATGGTACAAAAGGAAAGCATTGCTAGAAAAGCCTTTTTATAACATCGGCTGACTGTCCACCAGAAATTCTTTAGTTGCACCATCAAGGATTTGTGCTCTAACAGAGCTCCATGGCCCCTAACCCAACTTTTGTTCTCAGGTGACCAGAAAATGATAGTCTGTTCATACAGATCAATTATGCTGGGGACCTTAGATTTTACAGGTTCAGAGCACTGGGTTCCTTCATATTTTCCTTAGAGCACAGCTTTGAACACCATCAGCCTAGCCTAGGTAGTGGGCAACCAGGTGTCCATCTGCAGGGTTCTCAATAGATTTTTAAGTAGGAGGTGATCACTGATAAAGTAGGAGGCTCTTCAGCAAAGCCAGAGGTGTCAAAACAAAGCAAAGAAAAGCGACTTAAACACAAAGTAAGCGGCTATAAATCCCAAAGTAAGTGGCGATCAATCGCCGGGTGCCGCCTTCTATTGAGAACCCTGCATCTGACACCTGGTTTTTGAACACACCAATTACATTACGAGTCTTCACAGCCAATAACATCACGACTTAACTGAGAGACGACCAATAACATCGTGACTTAATTGACCAATCAGGTCAATAACAAGAGTTTAATACCATCAACTGATGTAAAACTGTGAAAGTTTTGAACCCAGGAGTCATTTCAAAAGGTTGAGTTTGATCGTCCGGGTTAATGTAGTCCTGAATAGGACTGTTGTTGTTGACAGTGACTGACGTTTCGACAACCTGTGCGGTAGTCATCTTCAGAGTCAAAGTGAGTTGTGTCACGTCAGTTGATGGTATTATACTCTGGTTATTGATCTGATTGGTCAATTATGTCGCGATGTTATTGGTCAACTGTCAGTTAAGCTGTGATGTTATTGGCTATGAAGACTCATGATCAGTGATTGGTGCGTTTCGATCCGTCTATTGTCACAGTTAAACAGTCGTCTATTGTTAGTCAAATTGTCAGTTCTCCAGTTGTTCTCTCGTAGTTAGTTTTCCTTGATCTCGTCAATAAGTCGTTTGTATGGCGCTGGTAACTGTTGGCTACGATTCAGTGGCGTTTGTTCTAAGTTAGTAAACCAGCTTTCTAAAGTAAGACGTTGATAGTAGTCTGTAGAATACGTTATACATGTCCCAATCAATTTGATGTTTCGTCTTTAAATGGTGCTCAGCAATGTGATTGATGACGTCACCATTCCTCGTCGCGCGTTTGTGTTCGGTCAGTCGCGTACTTAGGTTTCTGCCGGTTTCACCAATGTAAGAAGCCTGGCAGTCGCAGCATTTGATCTTGTATACTGCTCCCTGTCTGTCTGAAGATGACTACCGCACAGGTTGTCAAAACGTCAGTCACTGTCAACAACAACAGTCCTATTCAGGACTACGTTCACCCGGACGATAAAACTCAACCT